GTTTATATAACCTGTTTGTTCCATGACATTGGCACTTTGTCATTTCTAGGCATGGTTCTATGACCAAATTGAACGGAATTAAGAGACTGTTGTATGTTGTTAGGTCCAAAACCCTTTTCACTGCGCATCCTTTCAATTTATATGTTGTTGACTACCATCATTTGCTGATTTGTTTTCTTGTTTGTTCCAGCGTCTTGTTTTTTTGTTTCTGCCATGTGGCATCCCTCAAAAAACCTAGATATAGGTGAGTCAAGCCGGACGGGTTCCAACCTGCCATTTCCCGAAGTTCCACCCCTAAAACAAACAAGTGCAGAGTGGTTTTGGACCGGTTTGGACGAGTTTGGATTACCCCGGCCTTCCAATATTGGTTCTTGGAGGATCATCCCGGTTGGTGGTTAATAACCTTGGTGATCATTGAGTTCCCCAGGATGATCGGATGACCCAATGGAATCCAAGTTTGGGAAGCATCTCACCATCTTGGATTCAAATTTCCTTACCGGCGGAATTTCTGAATTCCCAGGATTTTTGTTGGGGATGCTATAACTCCAAACCGTTTGTTTACTACCCCGCCATAGCACCAAGGGTCACAAAACAAGCTGCAGCCGCCGATGGTCGCCGCCCAGGACAGTGGCGGCATCTTGGTCCGCGCTGGGCGTGACCTGAAGAGCCCCGCCTCAGAGGAGCGCTTGGCGAAGGACTCGGAGATTCAGCAGCTGGAACTGCTGGGCCACGCGGCGTTGGTTTTTCATGGTTACCCTCTGGTCATCGTTTACATAACTATGGAAAATCACATTTTTTCATGGGAAAATCATCATTTCTAATGGGAAAATCATGGAAAATCAACTATTAATGGTCATTTTCAATAGCTATGTTAAATTACCAGACGGTAATCATGATTAACAATAGTTAGATTTCTTATGGATTGCCAGGGATTTGAATAGATGGGGATGGTCAAAAGAGATCGATGAACCAGCTATAGAAGAGGTTTTGACCCATAACTACTGAAAACACACATATTTGAAGCATCAAAAAATATGGGGACATTCAGAAATGATGGTTGATGATTATATTCAAGAGGGGCCCTGGGGTTGAAGGTGTTTCTTTTTGTTCCGGAAACGCACTATCCTAGGGAATCTAGCAGGAATAGTTGGCCCTTTAGGTCAATCCAATCTTCATCGCGTTTGGTTTAAGTTTAATGTTGTTTATGTTTCCAGAGAGGTTGAACGATAGCTCAGCAGAAATATGGAAAACTGTTTCAGGATAAGCCATGAAACAAGAACATGAATGCAACTGGTAGTTGCTTCATTAGGTTTTGTAAAAAAAACATAAATTTGCCATGGCAGTTGAAAGCTTTGGGAGGTTTGATCATTTTCCACAGGGGGTCTCAGTAGTTCCATAGCTGTACCCATGGCAATCGGCCTGTCAGATTTGTTCCAACCGATGGCGATACGCAAAATATCCTTCCACAAGGCGCCAGATATTCCCATCGAAAACATGCGTTTTTTTCATCATAAAAAGATGTAGTAACAATGGTTTCCGAACATTTTTCCTTTCCCTCATTTCGTTCGGGAATTTGGGCCAGCGGCCCGCCATTCATGGAGCGTTTTGAGTAACCGAGAGAGGTGAATTTTGGAGGACATTGACGTTTCATTGGGATAACCATGGTAACAAAAATCTCTATGCTGGCTGCTTAATGGGTACAATTTGGGATTATTAAATAGTTAATTGATTGTTAATTGCTAACGGAATATAGCTATATACAGTTATTAGGGTTTTTAAGTATTAGTAATGGATGATCATAGGTCAATGTCGGGATGAGTGTCATGTTTTTTTGAATGGGCAATCGTCGCAAGTATCCTGTATCCTTAAATTGAAATATATGTATATATATGTGCAACTCATATAACCATATCGTTATAGATTCAGTTACAACTGGATCTGCGCCCGGAAAACCAACAGCATTTGTCCTTTCCAAACGAAGCCCAGGTATGGATTTATTCAATCCCCTTTGCATTTATTTACTGGTTGGTGTGGTGTCCATAATATATAGGATAATCCTTCCCATTGACGTTCATATTTTCAAGATTGTTAAACCCACCAACCAGTTTATGTGGATATGGGCCAAAAGATGCCAATAAATCAGATCAGATGGCCAAAGCCCAACGACCAACATAACTGGATCCGTTTCTGGTTTCGACTTTCCCTGAAACCAATCCATTGATTGGTTATATATCCTCATATTATGATAGATCTCAAGTTCATCCCTACATGTACCCTCTGGTAAACTAGCATAGCTATCGGTGATTTTCCATAGCTATGTTAGTTTACCAGACGGTAATGGTTGGAACTCCAGTTGCTGTCCATCCAACTGACCGTCGCCGCTCGCCGCTCGCGGTGGTGTTTTTCCGTTAGGCGACCGCTTGCGCTACCGATTGCAGTCAGGAGCTGGGCCACAGGAGGGATGGATGCTTGGTTTCGGGTACCGAGGGCAGCAACATGATCGGAATAATCATGGAATGATAATGGAATAATAATTGAAAAATAATGGGATGATAATGGGATAATAATGGAATAATCATGGAATAATCATGGGATCATAATTGGATAATCATGGAATAGTAATGGGATGATAATGGGATAATAATGGGATGAGAATGGCATGCGGCATAACATTTTAAGATATTATAGGATATAAAACCATGGGTTTAGCTGGGACCTGAACGAAAAATTGAGTTTTTGTTCATGGTAAAATCGTCGAAGTCAACTGGGGATTTTCCATTGCCATTCTTGATTACTGGAGGATATGTTAATGATATGTCATGGGTTGGTAAATGTCCTCATTTTCACATCACCCATCTATTGGGGATACAATATCCAGCGGAGACTTGAAGGCGAGGCTCAAGATTCCCCAAAGAGGCACATTTACTAAGCCCTCCAATTATATTCTGGAATAATTAGTATGATGTTCCATCTCGTTCCATGGTATTATGGAATCATATTATTCATCATTCCATGTTACTGTAAATATCCCCAATGACAGTGTGGTTTTAAGTTATATTTTAAAATCCCATCTCCTCTGATGTTAGACACCCATCAGAAACCATGGTTTCATGGGTGATTGGAAAGCATATTTTGAGCATCTACAGTAATTAGGGGGTGTTTGATATTAGGAGGATGTAATTATCATGTTCACCAACAATCATATGAACTGATGCATATGATATGATGTGCGCGTGTGTTTGCTTTGAATATAGTCTGGATCAATTCCAATAATCTCAATGTGACGTGATTCTGGAATTTTCTGTCGTCGCGGGAATGATCCCTGGGTCCCTGGTTGCAAGGGATGAAAGGATGACCATGGCATGTTCACCCGCAATACTGGTACTATTGATTAATGCAATAATATGATGCGACAAATGATGTGTGTGTGTGTTTGTTTCTTATACCTACTGTAGCTGTGCTGTTGTTTTTTCTTGTATGGACGTTATTGTTGTGTTCTACAATGATTTATGTTACTGCACCCATACATTTCGACGCGCCACAAGTACCCCAATAAACATCACATTCTAATCATTCCATGACCATCCCTAACCCTGGCCCTATCCCATAGTAATGCCAATCTCCCAGTCGTCATTAGGCTAAATTTGTTATATATCCAAATAATAAGATCACCACTGAACCACCATTGAATCCCATTCGATCCCATTAAATTACCGACCTCTGAGGATCAGCGTGCGTATCTCTGGAAAGGACCTGGCCATTCGCCTCAATGGTCTCAATGGTCAACCTGGATCTACACCGACCTGGATCGAGGTGACAGTGATTGATATATGGTGGTTTTGTTGCCTAAATTTTAGGGCTATGGATGAGCATGACTTAGTATTTTTGAACAACAATGATTTTGGGTTATCCCCATTTTATGACACCCCCATATTAGTTATTAGATCATTTCCCCATATATTTCCTTCCAATGCCCTCTGAATGTTGTGATTTTGGGCGTATATACAAGTTTCAGACACACTCACCCACATGAAAGGAAGTTGAAGGTCATCGGACAGATTCAATCAATGCCCGAATTGAAGTCTGGATTATTTGGAATCTCTTGTTTATTTCTTCTTTCAAATCTTGGTTCTTGAGACTCGCATCATCAGGGCGGTTCGATAGCATGCTGTTGCCACATTGAGTACAGGTTTTATCAGCCTTGTTTCTTGCTCTTCTCCTGGTGATTAATTTTGCCCCAATCTGTCCCAAGACCATTTATTTGATCATAAGATTTCTTGCTGAATCTTCCCATTCATAATTTTTCTATGTTCGTCAAATCAACAAACCAATTCTGTGGATGTGGCTAAACATGGCTAAACCATGTTAAGCCTATGATTTTCCATATTTACGTGGAGTGGATGAAAAACATCTAGTTCACAACCACGTTTGCGACGTGAAGACCAACGGATGTAGGGTTTTGATTCATAGTCAATATGTTGGGTTTAATAAATAAACCCTTGCGAACGTGTACAGGTAGCCTGAACTTTCAGTAAGTCTCATACGGGAATTGAACAATACCTATCAGACCGTGTTTTTCAGGGATGAACATCCAGCTGTGAACCTATTTGAGACTATTTGATGCGAACTGTGAGGTGGTTTTTGTTGGTTTTTGATCCATACAGCAATGTGCTGTGTATGCCGTTCTATCTAGTACAGTATAATATACTTCCATGCATTAATGTGTATAATATATATATATATATATCTGGTTGGTGGTTTGGAACATTTTCTATTTTCCCCAATAGTTGGGATAATGATCCAATCTGACTTTCATATTTTTCAAGGGGGTAGGCTCAACCACCAACCAGATGTATATATATATATATATGATAATTCACCATTTGAATCCCCATGTTCACAGATTAGTTTATTCGTAGGGTGTACCAATGTTGATAGTAATGTACGAAGCAAGTTTGGGACAATCCCCGTCGCCCCCTCCCCCCAATTAAATCCAACTAGTAAGGACCCCCGTCCCAATTAGTAGGCAGGCTTCGTGGGTTGGCTATTTGATGGCTATAGGGGTTGGTTCATCCCGTTAAATTATCAGTAAGGACCATCAATTCACCATTTTGAGTACCATGAAAGTATGTGACCATTCAATGTACATTTATTTAGATGAAATTCATGAAATCGCCCATTTGGTGTTTCTATTGATTTGGTTAAAACATGTTTAAAACCATTAAAAAAACAACATCGATTTGGGAATGGTTTATACCACATTGATAGTGAAATTGGGAATTGCTTATTATTTTTTTTATTTTAACAAACATTACATCAACTAAACTCCAATTCCATGAGTGACAACGCCGTTGTCCGCAGGAGTCCAGGGCGAAGATGCTGGCCTTCCGTGAGCAACGGCCGATGCTTCCGGCGGAGATCGTTCCGCTTCTTCCTGGGCGACTTCAGGGGACGAATCCCCGAGAGCCTCAGAGGAAGGACATGGGAAACACATGTCACAAGGCTGCTGAAATGTCTAAAGAACATTTAAGAATTAAAGTTTGGGATTTTATTTGGGCATTTGATGATAAAAAACAGGTCAACATGTGTTTGGGTCCATTGTTACCTCAATTTGGACCCGTACATCATATGTCAACATCACGAACTTCATGGATTTTAGGTTTATGTTTGCGAATCAACAGTGAGGATTAAATTTAGTAACCAAACATAGGGATATGGAAATGGACTCAAAAGGGGAACGCACGTCATATATACACCAACTGTATCATTTCATAGTGATTCATAGTGATTAACTTGGATTTGATGTGATACCCACAGTCGCATTTTGTTAGGAAACACCTCCTGGGGTTTTCATCATTGGGATTCAGGAAGCGGAACGGATTCCGGCGGTTTTGGAGACTGTGACGGGGCTGGGGCAAACATCATCAATGATCGCCAGGAATGATGAAAATAACAGGAAACGTCATAGAAATCAAGTGTCATCAATAGTAAAAAATACTCAAATAGAATAAATCATTGATACTCATAATCTTCATAGTCATGTCTTCTTCAAGGTTTCGAAACCTACATGGTCTGAAAATAGTGTAGCCCTAATTTCGATGGTTGACTGCAATTTTCTCATCATTGTAACCCCCCCATGTTCAGAAGACCCAAATCCATGTTGCATTTATTGAAACCCCAGTATTGATGACAAGATCAGCATGTTTTATGTTTTTTTCATGATAGATATCAATTTTCAGACACCCCCAAACATCTTTGTTTGTATATTATATATATACAAACCATTATATTAGAGTACATCCAAATAATATTGCATTATGATTGGTTTTATACCACATGTAATCCCCTGTTTTCTCAGACGTTCGCCGCTCGTGAAAAGTTGTCGGCACCAAGGACAAATTGCCACCCTTCAAGCGCCTGAACCACAAGGAGATGCAGGAGATGTCGATGAAGAATCTGCCAGGTGTCACCAGACATGGGTATTTCACCACGCAAATTGGTAAACAAACCACGACGGTGTGATCAGGAACAACCAATGGGAGGTTTGAGATGGTTTCAGCAAGGAACAGTTTGTAATGTTTAGGAAAATTAGTGTGAATGGTGGTTTAATTTGATTTGTGTTCCATCCTATTCATGGAAGATTCCGTCTTCAGGATTTAGTAGGATTGTGCAGTGCTAACTTCGGGAGTAGAAGCGACTGCACGAAAAAAAACATGACGGAATGTGATTCTGTCTAGTGACATCCTGTGACGCAGCTGTTGCCTGGACCCCCATTAAAACTTCGCCATGCTGGTGCTGAAACATCACATTTTTGGGTGGTTGAATTGTGAAAAACATTATAGTTATTCCCCACAAAGACGTTTTTTACGTGCTCGCAACTTGGATTATTGCGCATGAGGATGGTTGTGCCATGTCCAAAATTGAACATGTCATGTTGTGTCTAAAAATGGGCTTCAATATGACCAGGTATGGCAATCTTGGGGAAAATGGTGAACCATGATAGCAATTTAGGGATAGCGGCAATCAAAGGAATGGACCATCCACCCCACTTACGCCATGTTTGTTTTGTGGAGGATATCCTATCAGACACCTATGAAGAACCCTCTCCTGCAATCTATTTGTTGATTTTCCAGGTCACTTCTCTGGCATGAAGTTTCCACACACCGCAGAGCAGCTCAAATCCTTTGGGCCCAGTTGGTACACGGATGCGTTCCACAAGTTTGGTACCTTGGCCGAGTGTTAAGTGCTAGGTGATGTCAAGCATATGTTATGTGCACCAGCCCAAAGTTGGATGATGACTACCAGTTATACCGGATACCCTAAAACCCACATTTGGATAGACTTGGAGGATAATTGCTGCTTGACTACTTGACCCATATTTCTGGGGGTGGCTGGGGATCACCACCCATCACCAGCAGCCCGTGATCACGTTTGGTGGACAGCTGGGACAGCTGGGTCTGTGGGAGGTGATGGAATTCCGTCCTGAAGTGCGGAATGATAATCTATAGTCTATAGTCTATATATATATATACACATACTTCCATTTTTCCCCAATATCCATCTATATCAGCAGCTATCATCTATGGCCAATGTTTTTTCGACGGAACAGGGTTCCTGTTTCTTCTTGGAAGGCATGTTAACCAAGAAGTAGCCTGGTCTTTTGTCAGTAACAGTCTGGATTCAATTTCAACTATTTCAGCCATGACCAAAATTGTTGATTACATGTAAAAAAAAACAGATATTTTTACATATTTTACATGTTTTGTACATATAAAAGTCTGTTCCCGCAACTGTGACTGACCCATCGGGCTTCACGGCAGTGCCGCAAGAGTCACGGACACCGCAAGGTGAAGTTCTATGTCAGGGTGTTTTGATTAGCTGTATTTACTCAAACCCCTCAATTGCCCATAAAAATTGGTAGGAGCATGTAGGAGTCCTAAAGTTATGGGTAATACTGTATATATATATATATTTTTTTCCCCTGTTTGTCCAGGCTTGGTGCTTGTACTTGGAAGGTCTAGGCGATTATTTATAGAAGTATAGGGAAAATAAAATGCTGTTGGTTATAAGAACGGCCGTGCCTAGGTATTTAGAAGCAGCTGAAAATTCAATGTTTGATGGTTGGTTGTGCTCACCGTTTCAACCTTCATGTTTGTGTATGAGACATCCCTACTTATCGAGCCAATAATGGTTGGTGAAATCCCCCCGTGTCTCCATAAATAGGTTGTTATTGGGTGAAGTTACCCAGTGATACATGGTGATGCATCACTGGGTTTGTCTGAAAGTAGGTTACCTCTTGATTTTCGTCAAAACAATTAGCATGTTGTTTCTCACTACTCTCTCACTGAAATGGCACTTCGGGGTAGACTATTTCGCTAACCCAAACCCATTCCTTGGTTCAATCCCTATTGATGATGCACCGTAACACCATCATTGTTTTTGTGCTTCAAATCCGTTCAGTGATACATCTAGCCACATCTGCGGGAGCTGAGCAGCCTGCAGGTACCTTGCCCAAGGACAACCACGTCACCAAGGTGCGAAGTGTGCAGCAGCTGCCACACAGCGGCTTCGACGCCGCGGGCGGTGCAGGTCTGGTGATTTCGGGAAGGTCCACCGAGCAAAATCAAACGTGGCCTTACGCAAAGTGACATAGATGTTGAAGTCCCCCATGTTGTCCCAGGAATCTAGAACATGTTGGGTTTTCATGGATTATATATATTATAGATAATATATATATATACATAATATATATTATATATATTAAAGATAATATAAATATATATATATATAATATATATATATATGCCTATGTTAATGAACTGGAGGATACGCAAGAAACAAGCATAGAACAATTGGGATGGAATGGATTGGTATAGCAATATATCTGGTGGATTCAATCAGCAAGAGGATGGTAACATGCAGGTATACAATCCTTGAACTGGGATATTTGTGTTTTCTTATCGGTGCTTAGCAGGGAATGAGGGAATGATCCACAATAACTATCAATAATCATCCCCCATTCCCCCAGTCCCATCCATTCCCTACTAAGCACCAGTAAGTTTTGGATGCTTGGTAATTGGTAAAGTAGAAATGATCAAAACAGAAAGTCTCTCCCAGCAAATAGGCCTTGATGACGAGTCGTTATTGTTTTGGCTGATAGCGCTAAACAACCCCTCAACAAGGCATTCTGTTCGGCAGGGGTTGATTGCAAGAGAAGATGATGTGTTAGGTAAGTGACTACCATCGGCTAGCCATGATTAGGGATGATTATGCACTAAAACAGAACTGGCATTCAAGTCACCCAGATTGACTATGACTCCTTGCAGGACATAAGGCATTCATCGAGTTGGAATACGCCAAGCCGGATCCAAATTTACACACCCAGCTCTTTGCAAAGTGCCCTGGATGGAATTCATTTGAACTCCCTGGTAGGGTACAGGAGTTCAGCCCCAAGCCCAAAGGGTAGACTGTCGACCATTCATTGCGCAGGGGTTGCAGGCTGTGATAGCCATCAAGATTCATAGCATGAGGGAAGCTTTGGATGGGAACACCAAGTTCAGGAAAAGAAAAGAATCGGGGTACCTGAAAATTACATGAAATTTTGTGAGCTAGGTTGAACTCACATGAGATTCCAGGCTGTGCTTTCAAAATGTATGTACCTTTGAGCCTTCGAGCCTGGTATGATGATCCCCGTTGGCTTTCGTAGTTTCCGGGTCGTTGAGGTATCCTTGGGACTACTTTGAGTCTGAGACGGGCAAAACATATCGTATGCAGATCTCAACGTATGGAGATATGGACTCAGCTGAGTTGCTAACGTCCATTTGCTGTGAACACTTGCAGCTTGGCCAAACCTGCTCTGACGAAGCTCTGACAAAGTTGCCATGGTTTTTACAAGCTGAAAGCTCAATCATAAGTTCTTGTGCTTGGTGCGTCTAAAGTTCGACGTGGAATGGGAACATGCAATGTTCATCAAGTTTCATTCGGCATCTGGGTAATACTCGCAGCGACAGTTGTGTTTTATACAGGTTCATTGAGTCTGAAGGTGTCACGCCTATAATATATTTAGTTGTTGGATGTTGTTGGCTCCCAGCACCAATACATAAATGTGATTTACTGCTAATAATTATATAATAGAATGGACCTACAGATACGCTGCACTCTCAGATGAAGTGTGAGTATTGCCTTGGTGTGTTCTGTTGGTATGGAGTCTTGGTGCATAGTCAGAAGGATATGACTACTGTGAATCGGCTACAACATGTAAAAGCAATCTGGAATGACTTGAATGGAACAGCACGAAAGCTCTGCCAGGTTTCCCTTCCGAATCCCGAAGCTCTACTTTGCAGACATCAACCGAGACACCACCAACTATGTCCTGATTGTCGAACGGATCCCATTTGGAAAGCGTGGAAAGATTGTGAATGGCAAGGTTGAGAAACTTCCTCGTAAGTCCTATGAGATTCTCCCAGTCTGTGGGAAGTACCAGGACACCGGTAGCCGCGCCTGGGTCATCTGGGTCGGGTTCGCAACGGGGGTTTGGCTCTGGAGAGGCTTACATGTCAACTTGAATGTTAACATATCTTAACCATATGCTAACGAATAGCCAAATGATCCAAACTGAGCTGATTGGAGGATCTAATATAATGATTATTATCCTAGGTCCTGGGCATGCAGTTTCCGGTAGAGTTAGGCTCTGCACCTTACCTGGCCATATGGAGATGAGGTGAACATCACCTGGTGAGTCATGGGTATGTCTAGCCATCACCCTCAGGCAGAACCCAGCGTTATAAGTTATAACTAGCATCTTCCAAACAAACATCCCCTGTGTGGTGTTTTTTTTTGTAAATATGTTGCATCCTACCTTCAATGAAGATCCTGTTTGGCTTTCATATGTTTCAGACCCGTGGCTCCAACCAACCGTGCGAAGTTCATATGGTTAACCATCATGTTTCAATGGAATAACCATGTTTGCGGACAATCGACAATCACCATTTTCCAATGCACATCTCTTAGTGTGTGTTTGATAATGAGCGCGTATATCATGTGGTGATTTATTGTAGTGGTTGTATGTGATAATAATTATATATATATTATATCATATTTTGTATATTATTGCATATTATTGTATATCATGTTTTTCAACATCATTAATGTTGTATTATTCCATCATAATATATATATATATGTTGATGTATATTATTGTACATTATTGCATATTATTGCATTTTGTTGAACTATAACATACATATTCAGTACATTTTTCATCCTTCCACGTCAGGACTACCTCTTGGAGGACGCCCCCAGTGTCTACTACGCTCTCTTTCGCGAGATGGCACACTTGGCCGCGTGTGACCATCAAGGACGCACCGCAACACCAGAGACATATCTGGGGTAAAAAAACAACCTTTAAATGGTTATAACATGGTTACCAATAGTACCGCACAGGGCGGTGGCGGAAGTTTCAAAAATAGGAAACCTATAGGAGAGGTCGGTTGTTGTGAATCAGGGATGGCAGGGCGAAGCCACTGATGGACTGAAAGGTGCTTGATCTCTCTCACTCTTTCTCTCTCTCTCTTTTGCTCTCTTTCTCTGACTTTCAACCTACCTACCTACCTACCTACTGATCTATCTATGTATCTATCGATCGATCTATCTATGTATCTATCTTTCTTTCGTTTTATTTAGCTGTCTCTCTATCTATCTATCTATCTACCTATCTATCTATCTATCTATCTATCTATCTCTCTATCTCTCTATCTCTCTATCTATCTATCTATCTATCTATCAAACTATCTATCTATCTATCTATCTATCTATCTATCTATCAAACTATCTATCTATCTATCTATCTGTCTATCTATCTATCTATCTGTCTAGCCATCTATCTATCTGTCTAGCCACCTGCTTAGCCATCTATCTATCTATCTCTCCATCTATCTATCGATCAAACTATCTCTCTATCCATCTGTCTATCTGTCTATTTGTCTATCTGTCTATCTATCTGTCTATCTATCTGTCTATGGATCTATCTATCTTTTTATCTATCTATCTTGGTATCTAACTATTTGTCTATGTGTCTATGTATCTATCTGTCTATCTATCTATCTATCTATCTATCTATCTATCTGCAAGATCAAAAACGAAGAAATTCTGCGAGACTCTTTAATTTTTGCACATAACAACGTCCAAAACGAAACAATTCTGCGAGACTTTTTCATTTTTGGACCTTGGCAACATTCAAAACGAAGCAATTCTGCGAGACTTCTTCAATTTTTGAATTGACAACATCAAAAACAAAACAATTCTGCGAGACTTCCTTCAAAAATGGAAAGGTGACTGCTACACTGACAGCTTCGTGCCAATACGTTTTGCGATTTTTCCACTCCACCTGTCTAAAAGTACTGCGCCTGCCACAAAAAATTGATGCCAGGTCAGACGAAGTGCTGCACCTGTCACGCAAAATCATCTTAGCAAACCTACAGATCTGATGTTCCAAAATGCAACCCTTCTCAGGAAATCAGCGCCCTGACCTCCTTAGCATCTCTCATGAACATGTCTTTTGTACTGTGCTTGCCACGGAAAATGCACCTATGCAGATCCTCTTCAAATGTCCCACGCCTGCCACGCGGAACGACATCTGAGCGTCCAAAAGTGGTCCGAATCCCTTGTGTTTTTAACATGTTGACTTCGAAATGTGCTTCGCGCCACAACGGCGTACACTTTTTCGACATCTCAACTTCCAGAAGTGGTCCGACAAAGGTTTTTTTTGTACATTTTGACTTCGAAATGTGCTTCTCGCCACAATGGCGTGCACTTTTTCGACATCTCAACTTCCAAAAGTGGTCCGAAGCTGAGGTGTTTTGTACATTTTGACTTGGAAATGTGCTTCGCGCCACAACGGCGTGCAATTTTTCATCTCTCATCTGGCCAGCTGGCTCCGCACCCGCCGCTTTAGTGAGCCTACTTTTCGACCCTCCGGAGCCGCAAATCATTGGAAAAACATAGTGTTTCGCGACTTTCCTACCTTTTCGCACACCTGCATCTTCTTCTTGCTCTTTCTCTTCTACTCTTCTCTCTTCTAATCTTTCTCTTCTCTCTGCCTCTGCCCTGCTCTGCTTTTCATCTGTCCATATTGTCGGAAGTTTGCCTTCTAAACTTCCTTCGGTAACATGGTTATGACATGGTTATAAGAAATGGGATTACTGATTATAAATGGTTATAACATGTCAAAAAACATCTTATAGCTGACCATAATTGCGAATAAATAGCTTTGTCGTTCCATAAAACATGTTGTAAATGGGTTTATCAGTCCATAAATGGGCTGATCTACGGACTTAAAACTGATATTTCGGACCGTAACTGTAGGTATAGGGCGGCTTAACCGACAAATGCTGAGTGATATATCTGCTGTATGGAATATATAATGCTTGTAATGATGGGTGGTATACAGGTTAAATTCCCTTACTGTATATGGATGGTTTAACTAACACAGATCACATATCATGGAAATCTGTATAGGTTTGTGATGGGTGATATAGATACATGACATTAACTAACCAGCTTGATATGAAAGAAAGGCTAAATATAGGTATGGGTAAAAATTTAAGGTTCAACATCCAGTTTTCGGGGTACCAAATTTTGACCACCAACCAAGAGGTTGTGTAAATGTCCTGTTTTATATCTCAAAATAGAATCCCCCCGAGCCCTTGCTTATCATCAGTTTCCCACCCAAATGGTCAATATATCGGGGCATACCCCATGTTCAGACCGTCCAAGTAACAATGCCCATCAAAATATCCAACAAAACCAGAGCATGGGACACAGACCACATATAGCCAAACCAACAAACAAGGTATAAACATGGCTAACAACAAACATATGGTGCCTGAACCATCAGAAATTGTACATACACCAGCAAGTATAGATGGTTATCAATCATAATGATAGACTATTAAACCGTCAGAATGTAGGGTTGATTCACCAATCAAAAGGTTGTTTAAGAACAATGTCCAGCAACATATCCAACAGAATGTGGCATTATAATCTGGATGTGATGCGACTTCAGGCATCTTTGTTCATGCCAGATGTTCAATGTTTTTTTAGCAATGAAACCATGCAATTTGCCAACAAAATTGCACTCCAGCAGAAGAACGTGTGCCAGCGTTTAACCAAGAACCACGTGGATTATGACAACAACCATGATTCAAATATAAGTTTCCAAACTATAATTTTGTTTAAGCATTAAACAAATGCAGTTTGTTTGGTTTTACCGATAAATAGTGGGATAAAAACAAATAAACTCTCGGAGTTTGCCAACTAATGCAATGTTCATCAAATTAAAAACATGTTTACCACCAATCATGTGCACTTTAACAAAATAAATAGTCTTCATTTAAACAACAAAAGTGTGGATTTGATTGACAAATGGGGTTGGTTTAGAAAACACAGACGTCAAAACCAGTCCAAATGGACTCCAGTGGGTTTGTTCGCCAGAGGACGTTATGACTCCTTTTTCGGGCCCATGCAAAAGTATACAGAGCAAGAGTTTCTGGAGACCAAGATCAAGACGCGAAAGAAACTGAAACCGAAGCGTAAGGAAGTGTTGCAGAATGGGTTGCTGGGTCGATGTTGGATGGGCAAACTATGGATGGGAACATCTTTTGGAATCCCACAGTTTCCTTTTGATTTTGATGGGAAAATCTTTGGAAATCCTCAAAAATGGTTAACACGGGAAAGCCAATAGGTGGCTTAACAAAATTGTCGCCCCCTGTATATGTTGGTATCTGTTGACTTAACGCAATCCATCTATTGCAAAATCTTTCTGAACCTGTATACCTGGAGTTTGAATATGCTGTTGGTGGAGTTGGGATGAACGCAATGATGATAAACCATGGGATCAGGGGGGGAATAGCTGCCAACTCACTTACCCCTGCTTGTTTCGATGATTTCTGATCATGTAAGTCACAGAACTTCGTTATATAGATAGATAGATAGATAGATTTACAATCCTCCTTCATTTTTTTGCTACGTAAAGGGGAGGACTTGGGCTACAGTACAGATTGCCAGCCAGGGGTCGTTTTGCACAAACAGGAGGAGTTGGGACCACTTTGCATTCATTTTGTAGTTGATTCCTTTCAAAACCTCATTTGCATTTTGTAGTTGTATATGTTGAGTTAGTTGAGGCATCCAACATTAAATCTCATTTTCATTTTGTAGATGTACAGGTTGAATAGTTGAAGCATCCAACATAAACATGTACATGGGCACAAACAGATCATGAAACTACAGAATGCCATCTAACAAACTGCACGGGGTCAACACTTGATCCAACTAAATTCAATCATTGACAACTACAAAATGTTCTCGGAACTTATGTTGGTCGGAACTTTGGATGGCATAGACCCAACTACAAAATGTCATTGGGAAAAATCATGTTATCAATTGCGATTTTCAGTTATTTTTAACTTCAGATGCATTGGATTTTGTAGTGCTGATTTTGAATTATTTTCCGAGTCAGAAAAGGTTGTGTTCTGTATTTTGTAGCTGCAAAAAAGGTACCATGCACTGAATTTTGTAGTTGCGCACCCTATGCATTGCGTTTTGTACCTACCAAAAGCCTCTGCACAACTTCTCCCCCCTTATCTGAACCCTGATTATATACACACATTATTTTTGGAATGGCAGTTGGGTCTGCCCACCGCTTGGAATGTGTCCAAAAATCAAGGCTGCCTAATTATTATCCAAACAAACACGAGAAGATAAGTTTTTAAATCTTGGATTTTTTTGGGGTACTAAATCATGTCGTCAGACAAGGTGCTCCACGATGCTTGAGAAAGGCATCGACTTTGCGGTCAACGTGGCCCCGCAGATTTTCACAGCAGCTGGGAAGGATGTAAACAAGCTAAAGAAGATGAAGGACGGAGGTGAGGGTTCTGTTTCATTTCGAATGTTCGAATGGTGTTTGCAAATGGATATCAACAAAAGAACTGGTGAGTTTTTTCATGGTTGAGAGTTGGATCCTTGGAGTCCCTACCCGTAAAGTTGGGGATTGCTGTGCCCGTAAAGTTGGGAGTAGACTGCAGGAGTACCTAACCTGCCGTGGGAGCATTCTCCAGCAAACATGACCATGGAAATTTGTGACTTCAATGGAAAAAATGTGTATAAAGTACTATAAAACGATAAATGCACAAGAAACTTTTGGTGTTTTTTTCTTGCCATCTGAAATCAGCACCGAACTCCGGGTACTCGTTTCGGCAGGAAGAAATCACCTCGATGGCTCCATTCTTCGATGATATCCGGCAGTTTTTGGCCAACAGCAGTGGCCCGGTGCTGTTTTTCGGTTTTTGGCATCGGGTATCCCCCTTACATTCACTAGTGTCTACCCCCAAGCTTGGGCCCCAATTAATTCATGGATAGATCCGATACATTCCAAGATTAAACCATGGTTTTGTTCGGGTGGTATTCCAGTAAACAAAAGTGGGAAGGGATTATAAGTGCCGTTCTGACCCCTTTCCATTCACACCCAAGATTTTAAAAGAAAAAACATCCTGCCCAATGACAGAGTGGTCTGGTTAGCTAGGTGACTTTGTGGGTGCGATGCACATGAACTTGCAAGCGGACAATGCTTACCTTTGGTACGACGATGAGGGTGATCTCGACGTGGGCATTTTTGATTGGCGCCTTTGATACAAGCCTGGTGAGTCGTAAATCCCTCTGTGACGTGAGTTTGTTGAAGGTGGATGAAGGTGATCGTATATATTGTTGTTTCTTAATGGAAAGCCATCAGTTTGTTTTTTTCTGATAATTGGCAGAGATTTTTTTTTGTGTGTATAGGCTAGTTATAAACTAACTCAATTGAGCAGTGGCTGAGACACCACTGTTGATTGATGATTATTATTGCCTTATTATTGTTATCATCATTATTATTATTTTATTATTATTATTACTTACTCGTACTTATGTATAATTATATATATGTATGTTTCATTTACAATTATAGTTATTATCCCATCGGAAGCATCACAATCCATGAACTGGCAAATCCATTCAACCAACCGTTCTACAAAGGGACCAAGCCCATGATCCCCGACATCTCGGACCCCGAAACCTCGAAACAAGGTGCGGATTCGCGCGGAGTCCTTTCGTGATGAACTTCATGGGATGTCTCTCTGGGGCTGACGCGGATTTGCTCGATGCTCATGAGGAAGGCTTGATGAGAATGTTTTGCGATGAATATGCCAGGTACCTCGGAATGGCTAACTTTTGTTAAAGAATGCGGAATTCCGAGGACAGGGACATACCGTTCACAAAACATATTAATTTCATTGCATTACTATGTATAGCCTAACCACGCATAACACGTTTTTTGTTCTGTTTTTGCCTTCCACCCGATGGGATAATATATGTGTTCGGGTTGAGACCCTGTCCGAGTCCCAAGACTGGTGGGTTGGTCAAATTTCACATAAACAGTGGCTGCTAAACCCCCTGTTGATTGATGATTGTAGGCATTGTAGGTTCTTATACTATCCAACATGTTGTGGATTATCAAGTATCACATTTACTTGACCCACTTCACTTGACTTCCAACAAAATGGAATGATGATTCCCTTTGATGTGTTCAGAGGGATTGACGTGTTCAATGTTGACCTTGATAGTGAAAACTTCTCGTCGGGTGAATTCGATGTTTCAGTGGAATGACGTTCAAACCTCAAGCCAAACTTACCCAAGTGGTAGTATGAATCATGTTGCGACCAACCAGCACGGCCACAAGGTCTTTCAGTTTTGTTTCCTAAACAACCTCAAGCTGCTAGCCGCAACTTGAGGTATGGAGGTCCCAAAATCAAAGTGGAGGATCTGCTGCTGCGATATCATTTGCAGTGGCCCTCCTTTGCTATGGATGCGTGTCAGTGGGTGGAGCGTGATATCTATCGCGAATGTCCCAAGGAGGAGTGGCACTCCATCACGTCGATGTTGGATGATAAATTTGTGAACCTTTGGAACGTGAGATGTCGGGGAACGACCCTGGTGAATGCGTTAGAATATTACAATCGGCGTCCATTCTTCCAGATTTTTGAGGAATGGTGCCGTGGTGCGGGAAGCGCATATCTGTCGGATTTCACCGCGGAATAGATTCTGAAAAAAACATGTTGATGCTGCTGCTCTGGAACGGCTGGATTCAATTTCCTCTCGAGTTACGTAGGAAAATGAAAAGATGATGCAAGGTCGTACTTGCAGTACGGCATGGAACACCACTTTCTCTAGGGGCCCAATTTTGGGGCAGCATCGCTGCCCCAAATCTCCGGGTTATCACTGGGATAGCTCCCTCAGTGACTCAGGGTTCAGAATTCCAGCACTGGGTTCTGTTGACGTTGAGTTGCATTCCTACACAATGACTCATTGATCAAGGACTGCTTGGGTGATCAACTGATGTAAAATTGGTAGCACATCAATGGAGCTGTCAATGAGAATATTGGATCCACAATGATGAACCATCCCCATCCCCGATTCATCAACCATATGCAGGCCAGTATAATCCACCAGTTTCTCAGGGTCACATGTTGATAAACCATTCAGTTTATCGGCAGATGATTCAGGTGCCGTGGCAGCCACAGAAGTCGACGACCTGGAAGGCCAAGTTGAGACCGGAGATGGGTGATAAAGTGTCGTTCTTTTTTCTCGTTCTTTCTTTTGGCAAAATGAAAGGGATTGAGTATGAATAGATTACCTAGACCCTCCAAGTACGTTGGACAACAGGGACCTATAGTCGTTTTTATGGGTACTTGGAGGGTCTAAGTACTGTATCTATAGATATCTATACAATTCTATACATAGATATGGATATTTGCTATCATCTTACAACACCAAAAAAGAAAATTAGTCAGGTTCAAACACAAAAAAGATTACACTCTACCGCCAACACGTGATAAATGTTTAAAGAGCACTTAAGAGCAAAGACAGGGAAAATGACCAAGAAGTATGCGTTTTTTTGCTCACAAGTAGGATAGTCCAACCGTGTTTCTTCTTTGCCGTTGTGCATAGTCTAACGTCTATTGTTCATCTACTTTTGTTCAATGATTCATTGAACTTTTGACTTATTTTAAGTTGGTCCTTCAGATTTCTGCTATTCCCTGACGAAACAAAGCACGAGTTTGGGTCAATATATGTCAATATACATGTCAATACATATCAATACCGATACCAAATGATTCAACATTGCTCAACACTATAGCCTCCCAAAAGGACCGCCAACAGGGGATCTGAAAACGAGGATACCCAGGGTTCAAAGATTGGGCTTTTTTCCGGCCTCTGATTCCTGTACTTGAGCGGTGGTTGGACGAGATTGGATGAGAGTGTAAATATATATATATATAGATATGCTTTAACATTATACCATGTTTAGGGTATTTTGACCACAACACACATCGTTTCATAGAGAGTAATCCCTGTTGACCAATCGATGACAAAGTTTTGCTCAGGCACTTTGCAGATTAAGACGTGTTGTTTCAGTGGGGGATTTCAAGAGATGGGATTGAAGACTGAAGGACTTTGTCGCAGCTACTCATACCTAACTGCCTGAAACCGCCACAAGAAGGTTTAGCCCAAAAAATATTGCTTTGCAGCTTTGCAGGCACAAAAATCACCATTCTGTTCAAACAGATGATTTTACTTCTGAGGTCTTCCGAGCTTGTTGAAGCTGGGGTAATCTTCCATCCTATGTAGAAACAACCATCTCTACACAGACCCAGGACCACTGGGAGGATCCGAAGAAAGTAACTGAGGCAAAGCCCGATGGGATTCGTGCCCTTTTTTCATGGCTTATCCCAGGTCTCATTGGTAAATCATCTGAAATCACCAATCGTTGATGGTCAACTATGATCAAACCAGGTGAAATCCCATGTTTTGATGGTTATGATCATAGTTGATTTGATAATCCCATGTTTCAAATCAGGTTATGATCTCATGGTAAACTCATGGTAAATCCCATGTTTCAAATCAGGTTATGATCCCACAAGCGCTAAATATCAGTTGGTTGTCATCCCATCATGGTGACAACCGCTTTGACGAGGGCCCCCGCAGGTGCCCCGGTGGCATCGCCCGACGCACCCGATGAGCTGCATTTCCACGTGGAGGATCTCAGTGGAAACCTGGGATCGTTTCATGGGGGAGCCGAAAAATCATGAAGAAATGTTGACTTTCATAGGAAAACAGAACATTTTTTTTTACAGTTTTTTACATTGTTTATATATGGTTATTATAGATGGTCTAGATATGTTTAGATGGTTTAAGAGGGGAAAACTTTAAGTTATTGGATATTTTTTGGGGTACAGCAAGTTTGATCAATTAGCAGTTCCCCTTGGTTCCAGGTCTTAAAACACCTTATTTTGGTCAGTTGACAAACTCAAGTCACTTTGAACCCGGCCGTTCACCGTGGGACCCCCTTGGAGCCCTTTCAAGTTGTCGAAGCTCTGGAATCGATTTTGGGGTTTCCACGGTTTCCCTTTACTATACCCTCTATTTCCAGTTTTTCCATTAAAAGTGGTCCATTTAGTTCGTTGGTTTACCCAGCTATAAAATGGTGGAATTTCGATAGTTATGCAAACCTTTACTGGAGGAGAAACAACCCCCCAAAATCTCCATATTTCATGGGTGCTATGTTTACCACCCCGATGGTTTTCCCGACGCCAGGAGCTGCCGCCCTCCGTGACATATCAGCAGGGTGCCACAGAACCTGCTGAATTCCAAATGCTTCAAACGGAAGACTGGACAGTTCCTAGTCATGAAGACATGATGGATAGGTTACAGTAATGAATGCAGTTCATAGGTTCTTGTTTGTTCAACCAGACTTGGGATGGTTGAGATAGCTGAGATAGCTAAGATAGTTTGAGTATAATCTGGTGATTAATTAAAGTGGTATACCTGAGTATGAACTATCCCCAATATGACCAGATAATTCCCAAATGGTAGGTTTATTCTGGTTCATTATTGGGCCTATCGCCATGTTATTTGGTTTTTGTGAAAGAAAATCAAATACCTAGATGAGACATGTCCATCCAAAACTATCTGAAATTCGAGGCATGTTGCAGGAAATGAAGCGCGGGAAATGATGACAAGCCAGTACCTGGCGATGGCACCCTTGGGTGGCTAAATCATTTCATCTTAGCCCAAGCAAGGAGCTAATCTTGTGAAATTCAACCTGGGTCCAAAATGGCATTATTTCAGGGTGCCAGCAGCTGGGGCTCAATTGAATCGACCGTGACATGATGCCCCGTAGTCATCCTCCAGTGTAGATCGAATTGATAGAATAAGGATATTTCATAACATCGGCACTAGAATGAGAAGATGTTTAAAGAATCAGATGTTCTGGATGATTATGTATACATAAGTTATGCAGTTATACATTTTTATAGCATATAATTTATATGTATCCTTAAACCCAATCCCCTTGATATTAAACATCCCCATTGTTTGGTCCCAAAAAAAAGTGTGAATTCTCTACATCCACCATGGTTTCGGGGCAGTGTTTGATATGAACGGGGGAAGGGTGTACATACAACCCTTTGAATATCTACATCTGGTTATTTAACATAGCCTTGGTATATATGGATGAAAATGGTCCATAGAAATAGATGGTTTACCGAACTGAATAGCATGGTGATTTTCCATGGCTATGTTAGTCATAACCAGATGGCTAAATCCCATTCACCCTATGTGTAAATCACTATTAATGTCCATATTTATTGGTTGGACATTGTCATTGCGCACATCCAAGTAGCAATGACACAGGTCACTGACGCCGCTTCGCCGCCGCCACTTCGCCGTCCGTTGCGAGGTTCAGACTCTTTGCCCGGCTCGATTTCCATCCAGCTTCAGGTCACGAAGGCGGAGACATGCCCATAGTGATCCATCATGGTTAAGCCATGTTACCCTAGGGTAAACTAACATAGATGTGGAACATCAACCATTTGTGGACTATATTGAAGAGGAAGACTGGAAAATCAACCCTTTGTGGACGATTTTCCACGGGGTAAAGATGGCTTCTCCACATCCATGTTACTTTACCCTAGGGTCATGGTATATCATGGGCCGCATTGGGGGAAATCCTTGTCATCTCCAGCAATCAAGGTACGGTAAGGTATAGCATGGTGTGATATTCTGCACGTTTACCTGCTGTGCACAAGACTGAAGTCTTTGGCGGTGCAGAAAATGTGCGATTCCCTCCACAAACTTGGTTGATTATCTCCAGTGGCAGATATTTTCCAAGGGGTTGGAAACCACCAATTATACTGTTAGATAGCATGATGTGTGGGAACTGGTCAATATCTATCGGACTGTCAGGGTTTGTTGCAAGGTGAGGTATCCCAAAATTGAGTGGTTTAGAAGGTCATTGCCTTTTCACTACAACGCCATCAAATCGGAATCGTTTCCCAATTTTCTATATTTTCCGAGGCCCCCTTAAATTCATTCTAAATAGTATAATTATATATATATACTAGTTATTATGTATATATACATATAAATACATCCATTGTTTACCCTGCTATTCGTCGTAATTATACCCATTCGGATCCAAGCACATTTCCGTGCTCAGGTGAATGGTCTTTGCCGCTGGTGAGTGCCTGGCATCGGACGGCCGAAGCAGTGCCCTGGGATGCCATGATCCTGGCAAGCTTGGCATGTTGATACCAAGATGTTACATGATGTTACATGATACACTACCTGCTACAGTATCTGTATAGCTTGATTATAGCATGTGTCCACATCCTGTTTGTTATATGCAGGTTGTGTACAGAGGCAGTTTCATGATATGTGGGATCAATTCATTTTCCCATGTTCAACTTTCATTATTTGTTTGATTTGTGTATCTACCGGGGACAGAAGACGACGACCACAACAACAACAACAACAACATCAGCAACAGCAGCAAAAACAACATAGTCAGACAACATAACAACATAACATCACCATCATTTTGATACATGTGTTACAGTAACATGGTTGTCTGCATGTGTTTCTGCAATGCCTCCGTGTTTCATGATGACATAAACATCCATGCCCATTGCTTCAGGTACCACCGCCTCCCGCGCCAGAAGAAGCAGCCTCCACCTCGGAGTGAACAGTTCAGATTTCTGTTCACAGGCTCAAGTACTGATTTTTTTTACGCCTTCATCAATCCCTTCGTTTATCATTTTTTCCGGCATATTTCAACTAATCTGAACTCCCTTTTGTTCCCTGCTTCCACCGGTGATTTTCCCATGGCCGTTTCCCAGGTGGCGCCTGATCCACCGCCTCCGGAGATGTTGGACGATGGCACGGTGCTGCTTGGCTTTCCACAGCTGCCTGGCCGTGGGGAAGGTGTCGAACGGAGCTGATGTGGCTGGGTTGGCACGAAACCTTCATGAAATGGGAAAAAAAATGAACACTTGAACATTTTGAAGAGGAAATCCAACCTCTTTGGAAACTGTGGGGTTTCATGTGGTATTTCAAGGGTGCACATGTGAAGGAGCAAGTGAATTACAATGAATTGATCAGCTGGCATTGTTTATTGTCCAAGTTGTGCTTTGTATGCAGGTTTCATACATCCAGCATTTCTGTGCGTTGATTCCTCTTCGAAATTGGCTTTGACATAGAATTATGACACCTTAACGTGCGCACACGCACAGAAGCTAGAAGTGACATAGACATGAAGCAAGTATTTGGATTAATTGCAATGACCTCACTGCGACACTAGACTGATGGTTCGTAGGGGTAGCATGGCTAGCTACAAACAACCGTATTTAGGTGTGGTTAGATGTTAATACCAATATAATATATATATATAATATTAGTCAAGTAATTTATAAATAAGTATCTATTTGGAAGACAAGTGAGACAAAACAGCTGGGTATCAGTATGTATGTTTCCGGGAATGGCCATTGCCACCCAGTACTTGCACGTGCATTCCCACTAGTCACTAGTCATTCTTCAATATGTTCATCTACATGGTGCCCCTCAAGCCCTTATCCAGGGGACAAATAATTCATAACAATTCAAAGTTTTATCTTTGTTTTTGAAGAGGGAACCATCTAGAATCTATAATATAATGATATGTATGGAAATATGTATATGATACCAGAAATTACATAGAACATGTATATATAATCATAATGACAATAACAATAATAATAGTGATTAGAATAGTAATAGTAACAAAAACACTTTTACTACTACTACTACTAATAATAATAATAATAAAAACATCATAATAATTTTAATAACTGATAATAATAATAATATTGATAATTAATAATAATAGTAGTCATAACTAATAATAATATTAATAATAATAATTAATAATAATAATGATTTATATATATATATGTATGTATATATATATATATATATCTAGTTCTTCCAACTCACCGATGGGATCCCGGGACCGCCAGACGCAGCGCGCCCAGCACCCTTCCAACTGCAGTTCCGTGGTGCGTCCGGCACCTGGCGTTGGTAAACCAATAGGATCCACCATCCCCAAATTTATCATCAATGAAGTGTTCCTGGATTATTCCCACACCAGAATATTTAGATTGTGTGCATCAATGGGTTGAATAGACCATCAATTATATATCTCTCTATATATATATATATATATCTCTGTGGTTGATGATTATTGCTTCAGGTAACATTGCTGAAAAGAGATCCTAGGAGATTAACATGGGACCATGGTGATGCATGATGAAGCAGAATCTGCAACTTTGATTTGTGCCGAATCTCGACAGACGCGCTTTCAAACCTCAGCCATGAAAATCACATTTTATCACTAGTTGTTGATTCTGTTTTCATGATTTCCACCATCATCCTTATCTGAGTCAACGATATTTGCAAGTAGCGGTGCTGCTGTGTGTTTGCTCACGCTTCACTTGATGGCCCTGAGGGGAGCGGTGAAGGGAGCCATGGGTATCCATATTCCCTTTGAAATTGGAGCCAACAAGGTACTAAGAGTTTCCGAAGCATGTGATGATGTTGGAACTCTTAAGAGTCAACCAAAGGAGAACGATGCTCAGCAGTTGAACAGTTGCAATGCACATGATCGACATGTTGGTAGGTTATATACACGACATCCCAGGTATTTTTGGAGTTAATGTATGTGTTGATCTTCAATGTTTGTGGGAATTGTAATGTTGCTGCTCACCATTTTGTACAATTATCATTCTTGTCATTATCATTCCACCACGTCATCATATGAGCCATTGTCATTGTCCCTTTGAGAGTATATACTCAGGCAAGCCTCCTTAATAGGGATATGCGTACCACAGATATTTCCAATGTGGTTTCAACCTTTGATATGGTTTGCTGTGCCATCTATGGCACAGCAAAGACAAACTACACACAGTAGATAGCAATATGCATCCCCCAAAGATCGACCCTGAGACTGACTATATTACTACTGAAAAAGATGGAGAAGCAAAAGTGATAAAACAATTATAACTTTATCCATACTATGAGTGATAAAATAAAGCAATAACATACTGCAGATAGAGTGATGAACTGCACCATTTCTGCATCGTTGTTGCGGGTCAGCCATCATCTGCAGGTTGGATCCCAGCACTGCAGATTGGCAGCTGGTGCAGTCCAGACCTTTAGGCGATCGCCTGGGGATTGTCAGGGACCAAAATGGATAGATTTCAATAGAGTTCATCACGAAAAAATCATCAAAAACCATCCTGAATCCTTAACCATCCTTAATGGTCACCGGCTGGGTAAATGGATGGTTAAAGGTCACCGAGCTGATTCGTTGATTGATCAAATTTGCTTTGATTTGATTTATTGAGGGCAGATTTTAGGATCAGTTTTTTGAGGTTGCTGCACACGACCCGAACACGCACGGTTTACCTGTAAGTAATTCAACTTCAAGGGTAGGAGGTAAGAAGCTACCCTCAACTTCCCCAACCACCAAAACACGTGTTATTCTTGCATTACGATTTGGGTTTGATTCCCGAAAGGAATTTGATATGCCCTGGAGAGGTATTGGGGGCCAGCAAAGTGAGGAGACGAAACAAACCCAAACACATCTCCCAAAATGTGCCTTTCTTTATTGTCCTACTTAGTTCTTTGTTTCTTGCTTGCTCACCAACGAGGTACAAAGGACTTGAAAACATTGGGTTTTGAGTTTTGAGGGAAAGTCTGGTTTCTCTACGCCATATACACTAAGGAGGAGGTACATAGTACTTGAAGCCATTAGATTTGGAGGGAAAGTCTGGTTTTTCTACGCTTTCAGGCCTGCATTTCTGTGATGTTGTTGCCATCGACTCGCAACTTTTCCGAGCTTGGTGGAAACTATTCCGCAACGCTACCAAGAAACACTACTTTCTTGAAATAGAGTCCTTATATACAACAACTTTATAGCTAAGTTATTTTAGCTCCTTTCTGTCTTGTCACCTTGTAATCCCAACATTCCCCAAAACGATGATTCCTGAAACCATAGCAAAGTTGGCTTAGAAGTAACTTAACTATAAATTGTATATATAGATGCATCGCCGTATCACACTACTTGTCGATGTTATAGGCTGTAGATGGGTGAAACTAAACCCAAAACATAAGAAGGGGGACCGCCGGGACTGCCTAGCAGTTTCGACATGTTTTGTTGAAAAACAAAAGTACTATAAATTACAGTAATTATGAAAACACATGTAAATCACATTATGATAACTATCCAAACATGCTAAACCTTTAATCACCTGAACATAAGTAAAATAACATTGAACTGACTGTCAATGCGGTAAGCCCATAAGCCATCACCAAAATGGCCATACAGATAAATCGGCGGTATAAACCATCCCCAAGTGGTAGTTGTTTCATAGTTGTTCATGGCATTGGGTGGGGAAACCCCACACTAAACACTGGTTGGTGGTTTGGAACATGTTTTATGTTTCCCCAAAAATTTTGAATGTCATAATCCCAACTGACGAAGTCCATCATTTTTCAGATGGGTCAATTACAACCACCAAGCATAACATAATCCCAGGAATTCCCCCACAGATCTGCAGATGAAGAGCCCACGAAGATCCTGGTGATGGACCCACGACTGCGTCGCTATGCTGAAGGCGCTGTGTTTTTTTTTGTGGAGCGGACAGTGGCGATTTCACCCATGGAATAGCAATGTAACAGGAAACGGTTGAGAAAACAGGGTTCACGATGACGTAACCGTGGACCTTCAAAAAAACATTCTTTTCCGCCCACTGGCTCACTTTGGACTTTGCTCGATTCAAAACAAATATGTTCGATTGATGAAAAAGAGCTCGAAGCCAATTTCAGTGCCCTCTCAAAAGTCCAGTTAAAGTGCGCTGATTTGCAAGAAATTGCATTAGTCTTCGCAAAAGTGCGCTCGTTGTGCGTCTTTGGGTTCCTATGTCTGGACATCCAAAAACGGCTGATCCGCTGAAAGTGTTTGTTTTTTTCAAGAAATCATGCTCGAACTGTGAAACACATATATACAAATAAGGCATCGAACAAACAAGTTTGCTCAATTGAAGGGCCAGAACATGATTTTATACGATTAAGTGCAGTGAATCATGAAAATCGAGTTGACCAATAAGAGCCTACCCCTGCATATCCAATGTTTGATACATGTTCCATATGTATGTCATATGTTTGTTAACAATATTGTCTATTCATCTGTTTCTGACTCAAATGGCTATGAATTGAGGTGTCGCCCATTCTTGGACAGACCCATATGAGTGAGATTTTGAGATCAAGATTGATCCCACAAACTGTTGACCTCATATTATATAATAATATATAATACATATAACATATATATGTAATATATATATATATACATAACACCCCCCCGAAAATGTATTCATTTCTATCTGTGTTTACTATATTTAGGTTAAGGTAATTGTCAAATAACCCCCGGTTCATTGACTTGGGAGTAGCAACAAAGTAGCTACTGGAGTATCAAACAGTACCAATGAAACAATGACAATGCAGGGTTTACCTTATTCATTATTCCCAATTTAATATATATATATAACTATATATATAATTATATATATATTCCTCGTATATTCCCATGAAATCTCCTTGACAAGCCATGAAATCCCATTCTCAGATGGCGTCATCTTTCGCCTTTGGCGTCCACAGCTGCGATTCGGTGACGCGCACCGAGTGGAGGACAGGCCAAGTGTTCCCTCCATGTCTAGCTGGAAAATGCCCGAACTAAATGGAGATTTCATGGGAAATCAGCTATAGATTAGTGTGTTTTTCTCCGTGTTTCCACAGACCTTCGGTGTCGTGAAACATGCCTAGCTGGCAAGTGGTATGAAGGTTTCAATGAGAAAATCATCCAATGGATTCTGGTGGATTTTCCAGGTCGAAGACCGGAGGGTCTAATCCTCCAGCCTCGGTTTTTACGGGTGGGGTGGGTGGGCTGTGTGGGGTAAAGTTCGTTGCGACGTTGCACTTGCACACATAGATGATGAACAAAAACCAAGGACCCCCACCTCTTGTACTGGGTCAGCCTGAGATGATACTCCGCTAACGACCTCTCTCTCCTTGCAGGCTCAGATCATGTTACGCGAACGACCTTTCGGCCGTGCATAGGTAGACTCAGATGAGGAACAACAAACTGTCTGGGTTGCCTCTCCATTCGGCACACATGGAAAACCTCGGGATTGAAATGGTAATGGCTGCCTTTGTGCGCTACATGGCCTTTGTCAAAGACAAAAAATATCCCAGCAAGGCGTAGATACAGCTCGGCTCACTGAAAACGGACGCACATCATCCCCTGTAGTGGCCCTGTAGGGCCTTACACTGTAGAGGTCGTTTTCAACATATATTTTTGAGAAAAATGGAAGTTGAGTTGATTATACATTTGATAAACATATTACACTATTATGGTGTTTACTACCAATGGTTTTGAACATTAATAACCCCAGCTCTTCACCCCCAAGTACTGGGGATGATTGACCCGAATTACCAGAATGTTTTGTTCTGATGGATGGTTCAACCACCAACCGTGACAGGATGATGCTCGAGTGCGACATTACACAAGCCACTGGCCTCAGTTCAGGATAACTTTTTGGTGTACATTGTTACATGTGTGTTTTGTCACGGGGATGATGACCAAGATGACCTTGATCAGCACATCGTTTAGGTTCCAAAGTGGATGGTCGGGATATCCCTGCCAACCTTCGAGCTGTGGCAGCAAACGCCTGGAAACAAATACACTGCAGAATGCCAAGACTTTTGAAACCCTTACCCTCTGGCTATTTAACAGTTCGACCCTGCCAAATAGTGGCTTGTGCCAGATGATTTTCCACCAAACATTGGTTATTTTCAGGGTCCATGTTCGCTGGGAGCTGTCAGGTTTGGCTTCAGTGCTATCAACGGCCATTCGTTCCTGTTCGGCACAGTTTGATGAATGGCCCAAGGCAACCTTGGTTCGGTCTCCTGGAGGTGTCTGGTGTGTCCATGCCACGATGGTTGACCCGGTCTTGATGGTTTTCTTCAAAAATGGGACACCATGGGACACCCCAAGTAGTAGCAATTTCCATGGGGACAATGATGATATACCATGATAAACTGATAAATCTATCATATAATGAATGCCATTAACGTTTGAAATGCACCCCCGATGTTCAGCCATTTCCCCGTGTGTTGACTTGGCGAATGTCGTGATGCGAGTGATGTGCAAAACTTCTGGTGACTTCTTGGTTGATTGTTGCAACTATGGCTTTGTGAAAAAAATATGTTACCCCATATCCCAGTGGTTTATGAACATGTTCCCGATTCAGATTGTGTTTTGGGGAGATACGCCATTTTCAGACACAGGCATCTGCAGCTCTGTTCTGCTCCACCCCTGTTTGAATTTGAATGATGACATGAGCGTAATTATGGAATAGGCGGGTCAACCGTCGACCAGTTGTGTTTTCTCACACCTTAAACATTGGTCACCTTATGCTATAACAAATGATAACTAATTATACGCTCTTGCATGCGTTTCGTATTTTTTGATTTACATGAACATTTTCAGGAAACATGGATGTTGAGAAGAAACAACACATTTTTTCTTGGAGACATCACTTAGAGAGGCCAAAAGCCAGTGAGACCAGAATTGCCATCCTTTTCCGCCAGTTTCAAAGCTGGTCAGAGTTGGGCATAGATTTTCAAACATTAATTAAGCTAGGTAGTTTTTTGGATATGTTGCACTGAAGGGTACCAGGGTAGCTGCATGGATTGTAGTTGTTCTTTTCTTAGTGGTGCTATGTTGCATTGTTTTAGCTGTGACTGGAGGATATAGGAATACTATTGATTGGAATAAAATTTTAAAATATTTTAAACGAAATTGCTTTGTTTGCAGGCTATCAATTGTTTTAGCTTAAAAGCTTCGCCACGTGGAGGTTTCTTAAGATGGAGAATCCCCAAGTCACAATGGGTTTTAATACAAAGTCATGGTCATTCATGACTTGGATGATTTGGGGGTACCCCCATGACTTGGGAAACCATAGGAAACCTCCACGTAAAGTTGGTTGAGCATGTGCCCCCATGACGGATCGCCATGAGGTCTTCCAAGCATCGGCAGATCTGCACGAGGTGGGGACTTGGAGTGAAGCCCCACCCAAAACATAGGGACAATTCCAAAAATGATACATAATTATATATAATTATATATTATATATATATACGTATCTATATATATATATATACATTATATATATAGATACATATATATATAGATACGTATATATATATATATATGGGCTGTGTAATTCCCATTTTTTGGGTTGTGTAACTCCCATGTTTGGCTGTTGAAGTCCCAATGCTTGATTGGTCGACCAGGAGGAGCCGCCTCCAACAGCTATGCTGCGCTTAGACTGGAAGGCTGGTGAGTTGCCGGGATGCCATCAATGGGATTTCTATTCTGAACATGTTCCTCCCAAAAAATGTATCATGGCCATTTTAGTGTTACTAGGTTTGGATAAGTTTTGATCCATTTGCATTTTGGTTGCGTGGAGTAAGTTGGAATCATTGTGGGTTGGTGCAGGCATGATGGACCTGAAATTGAAATTAGTGGAGTTTTTGATGGATGACCTGCATTTCTCATTGCCGCTGGTGATCGAACATAGCTATAGAAGGCCCATTTCTAGATGTGTCACCGGCTTCACCCTGGAAAAAATGCTGAATTTCCAGAGGCGAATGATGACAACATGAATCAAACATGGTTTATTCATCCCCTGGTTGAACAGCAGATCCTATACTCATGTTGATTGCTGACAAAGGCCATTGGTTTTAGATTCCCGATTAGCACCTGGACCTTGCCCACAAACTCGGTCATGTTTTGTACAAGATCATGCAAATTCTGGTTTTGAATGATATTGAACAGCTTTAAAACTCCATTTCTATTGGTTGTTTTTCCCGAGAGCGTCTGAGCGCAGGGTTCTTCCAATAGTGGGGGTCTGTATCTCATCTTCTCATCTTCACACCTTCTCATCTTCACATCTTCTCTCACACCTTCTCATCTTCACATCTTCTCTCACACCTTCTCATCTTCACATCTTCTCTCCCACCTTCTCATCTTCACATCTTCTCTCCCACCTTCTCATCTTCACATCTTCTCTCACACCTTCTCATCTTCACATCTTCTCTCACACCTTCTCATCTTCACATCTTCTCTCCCACCTTCTCATCTTCACATCTTCTCTCACACATTCTCATCTTCACATCTTCTCTCACACCCTCTCATCTTCACATCTTCTCTCACACCTTCTCATCTTCACATCTTCTCTCACACCTTCTCATCTTCACATCTTCTCTCACCCCTTCTCATCTTCACACCTTCTCATCTTCACATCTTCTCTCACACCTTCTCATCTTCACATCTTCTCTCACACCTTCTCATCTTCACATCTTCTCTCACACCCTTCTCATCTTCACACTTTCTCTCACACCTTCTCATCTTCACATCTTCTCTCTCTCTCATTCTCTCTCCTTTCTCTCTCTCCTTTCTCTCTCCTTTTTCTCTCTCTCGCCTTCTTTATCTTTCTCTCTTTAGGCCGAGGGTGGTACCGGCGGTGAGTCACGAAACGTCAACCCTTTCGCACGAAATGAAGGGCGATCGTCAAAAACTGAGGAAAAATTGCGATTTTACTTGTGCCGGAGCAACCCTTTCGCACGAAATGAGGGTCGATCGTCAAAAACTGAGGAAAAATTGTGATTTTACTTGTGCTAAAACAACCCTTTCGCACGAAATGAGGGTCGATCGTCAAAAACTGAGGAAAAATTGCGATTTTACTGTGCCGGAGCAACCCTTTCGCACGAAAATGAGGGTCGATCGTCAAAAACTGAGGAAAAATTGTGATTTTACTTGTGCTAAAACAACCCTTTCGCACGAAATGAGGGTCGATCGTCAAAAACTGAGGAAAAATTGCGATTTTACTTGTGCTAAAGCAACCCTTTCGCACGAAATGAAGGTCGATCGTCAAAAACTGGGGAAAAATTGCGATTTTACTTGTCCCCGAGCAACCCTTTCGCACGAAATGAGGGTCGATCGGCTAAAACTGAGGAAAAAATGCGATTTTACTTGCGTGTAAAAGCGTCTGTGTGTAAAAAGCGTTCTGTGTGTCAAAGCGTCTGTGTGTAAAGCTCTGTGTGTAAAAGCGTCTGTGTGTAAAAGCGTCTGTGTGTAAGAGTGTTGTGTGTAAAAAGCCTCTGTGTGTAAAGCGTCCTGTGGTCAAAGCGTCTGTGGTGTAAAAGCGTCTGTGTGTAAAGCGTCTGTGTGTAAAGACTGTGTGGCAAAAGCGCTGTGTGTAAAGCGTCTGTGTGTCAAAGCGTCTGTTTTGTAAAAGCGTCCTGTGTGAAAGCCGTTTGTTTGTAAAAAGTGTTTTGTGTGTAAAGCCTCTTGTGTAAAGCGTCGGTGTGTAAAGCGTCTGTGTGGAAAGCGTCTGTGCGTAAAAGGAAAAGCGTCTGTGTGTAAAAGCGTCTGTGTGTAAAAGCGTCTGTGTGTAAAAGTGTCTGTGTGTAAAAGCGTCTGTGTGTAAAAGCGTCTGTGTGTAAAAGCTTCTGTGTGTAAAAGCGTCTGTGTGTAAAGGGGTCTGTGTGTAAAAGCTTCTGTGTGTAAAAGCGTCTGTGTGTAAAAGCGTCTGTGTGTAAAGGAGTCTGTGTGTAAAAGCGTCTGTGTGTAAAAGGGTCTGTGTGTAAAAGTGTCTGTGTGTAAAAGCGTCTGTGTTTAAAATCGTCTGTGTGTAAAAGCGTCTGTGTGTAAAAGCGTCTGTGTGTAAAAGCGCCTGTGTGTAAAAGCTTCTGTGTGTAAAAGCCTCTGTGTGTAAAAACGTCTGTGTGTAAAAGCGCCTGTGTGTAAAAGCTTCTGTGTGTAAAAGCCTCTGTGTGTGAAAGTGTTGTGTGTAAAAAGTTCTGTGTGTAAAAGCTTCTGTGTGTAAAAGCTTCTGTGTGTAAAAGCGCCTGTGTGTAAAAGCTTCTGTGTGTAAAAGCGTCTGTGTGTAAAGGAGTCTGTGTGTAAAAGCGTCTGTGTGTAAAAGCGTCTGTGTGTAAAAGCGTCTGTGTGTAAAAGCTTCTGTGTGTAAAAGCTTCTGTGTGTAAAAGCGTCTGTGTGTAAAAGCGTCTGTGTGTAAAAGTGTTTGTGTAAAAGTGTTTGTGTGCAAAATCGTCTGTGTGTAAAAGCGTTTGTGTGTAAAAGTCTCTGTGTGTAAAAAGCGTCTGTGTGTAAAAGCGTCTGTGTGTAAAAGCGTCTGTGTGTAAAAGCGTCTGTGTGTAAAAGCGTCTGTGTGTAAAAGGCTCTGTGTGTAAAAGCGTCTGTGTGTAAAAGTGTCTGTGTGTAAAAGAGCCTATGTGTAACAAGCGTCTGTGTGTAAAAGCGTCTGTGTGTAAAAGCGTCTGTGTGTAAAAGCTTCTGTGTGTAAAAGCTTCTGTGTGTAAAAACGTCTGTGTGTGCAAAAGTCTCTGTGTGTAAAAGTGTTTGTGTGTAAAAGTGTTTGTGTGCAAAATCGTCTGTGTGTAAAAGCGTCTGTGTGTAAAAGTCTCTGTGTGTTAAAGTCTCTGTGTGTAAAAGTCTCTGTGTGCAAAAGCGTCTGTCTGTAAAAAGTTCTGTGTATGAAAAACATGAAAAACTTTACAAAAATACGATGCAAACTATTGTCTTGTACTAGTCATATATTGTCTTGATACTACTCTTCTCGTCTGCCTATAATACATCTTTAATATAGTGTCTCCATACTAACAACAGAAGACTCTGCTCCTCTACGCTCTCGGGCCATCCGTCGTCTAGTTTTGGTATTATATGGTATATTGGTTGTCTTGTCTTTTGGTATTACAGTATAATGTCATTTCAGGCCTGCCTCTAGGAAGTAAAAGACACTGGAACCCCTCCATGGATGACTTTTTTTGCATAGCAGAGGGTGGCGATTCTATAGACTGGACAAACATGTGGGGCTCAGATCCTCCAAATCATGTTCTATCCAACGACTTGACCCACCCCCACCCATATTTTTGTTTGTGAACTTCCCGATTAGCATCAGCCATGAACTGAGAATCTCGTTTTTAACCAACCGTGTAACCGAATAACACTATATTCATTTATAAACTAGTCTTATCCAACTTGTCCTATTGATACATATTTATTGTCCAAGTTTTAACTTCAAATCTATCCTTGATGTTCTATACCCCTCAAAGTTTATGATATTATATCCTCACTAAAAAAACATTTATGGTTTCTATTTAATCCCATATTTGCCAAACGTCGGGGATGGGTACTGGGATGATTGTGCAAATAGTTGTGGATTGGATCATTCCTCTATTCCCTATGTTTAGCAGCAGTAAGATTGTGTTCCCATTCGTCATTTCACCCATTTATGTTATCCTCAATCCGCGATTTTTAAGCACAATCTAATTGCTTATCAATTCACCCATTTCCAGTTGAGGATACCCTCTGGTAAATTAACATAGACCCTTTTCAATAACCCATTCTTAGTGGTTTCACTAATCTTCCAACCCCTATCTGGCAGGGTCTATGTTATTTACTGGAGGATATCATGTCATCAACTTCCATGTGTTTGTTGTCCAATCGCCCGAAAAACAAACCGAAAACGCCAGGTGCATGTGCCCAGCAATGCGGGCTTGATGCCTGTGAGGCTGCACCAGGCCAAATCATGGTTCACCGGGGGTAACTCGGGCAACTATGGTATATATATATGATGGTTAAATGATAGAAATGATAATCTCATATCATTTAACTATCATTTAACCATTTCTGCTTGGTAATTTGATATACCCTCTGGTAATTTAACATAGCTATTGAAAATGGCCATAGAAAGGTCGTTGATTTTCCCAGCTATAAAATGGTGATTTGGCCCATAGTTTTTTGTTAACGTTTACCAGAGAGTTTTTTTTTATATATTGGTGGTTTGGAACATAAGTTTATGACTTTCCATATATTGGGAATGTCATCATCCCAACTGACTAATATTTTTTTCAGAGGGGTTGAAACCACCAACCAGTATATGTATGTATGTATGTATGTATGTATGTATGTATGTATGTATGTATATACAGTATATGTATATATATATATATACATGGGGTGTTCCATAAATGGGGGTACTCTAAACTGGATGTTTCATTTCATGGAAAATCCTACTACTAAAATTTTATGATTTGGGGGTAGCCCTATTTTGGGAAAGCCCAATGTATGCATCCCCCTTGATTGAAGCCCTATGCAATGGAACAACCAGATTTTTATGGAATGGTGGGGTAAGGGTTCCTACCCTTCAATCAAGGGGGATGTATATATCTGTACATAACTTAGTAACTACAACTAACTATACAAACCACAGTTGACTTATAGTTGGTTTATAACTCCAGCTGGGCTTATGGTAGATACGGGGTTTCTTGAATGGGTTTCAATTCCAAAATAGTCTTAAGTTTGGATGATTTGGGACTACCACCAATTTAGGACACCTCCATATGGTTTATGAAATATGTGGTTGGTGCATTATGGTTTAATATAGTAGGCTTTGCCTTTGTAGACGAACAACTAATTTGATTATCGTGTATACACCAGTTTTACCCATTATAACATGTGGGATTTGACACGTGGTTTAACGATCAAAAATAGAGAAGCTGTCAGCAACAACTTGGACTAACATGGAAATACAATGGGATACCTGGTAAACAAACTGAATGGGTAATGTAGTACCAGCACTTCCATTTCATTTTTATACGTGGGGATATGCATGTATATCACTAACCAGCAAAAAAAACTTGGTATCTAAGCTTGGCTATGTTAAGTTGCCATGAATTGTGGGCTACGGCCATTTCCAACCGTCCAAACCATGTTCCGAAGCGGAGGGTTTGCTGTCGGATTTTAGATGGTGTGGGTTAAAGTTAGCCCCAAAGAATGAATGGTTGAACACTAACATTACCAAAATCAATCTGCTTTATTGACCCCCACTTGTAACCTATTTTGAACGCTCTGGCAACTTGACTTAGATGATTTTGAAAGCAGCCAGCTGGACTCCAAGTTTACATCAAAGATCAGCTGGTAGTTGTGGATGTTCATCCACTATGCTCCGTTGGAACTGAAAGATGTTTCCAATTTTCCAGCAGGGTAAAAAGAAAAAACTCCCAAATCCTCCAACTCAGAGCATACCCGGCAGACAGTGGGAAAGCCAGGTGCGCTTCAGGCGCGTGAAGCCTCCTGGAAAGGCAGGGTGTGGGATAGACGTGCTTCACACATCGAGTCGCGGCTGCCAATGCGGTTCACACTGTCATCCTCCAATAGAATTGAAGGTTCTAACATATGTTTGATTCAATATACTGTATCCATGATGAATGTCTGGGAATTGGTCAACTTGATTGACCATATGAATGGGGGGATAAAAATCCAAAACAACAGGCTGCTTTGAGAAGAACAACAGGATTTATTGTTCATTTATGCCAGGATGACACGTGGCAAGAGTCCGTGGGCCAAGTGCAACAATGGATGGGTGGCGGATGGGGTGGCTGGCGCGAATTCCTGGGTCAAGCTTTGATGGGTACTTTGATACGAAGTAATGATGAATGCATATTCACCAAGCAATATATATGTATATACACTAATTATTATTATAGACTGATGCAATCTGATACATATACAATCATATATATATATATATACACATACATAATGTTAATCTTCATTTTGATGGGGATATGTTCCAACCAGCTCAAAACAATAGAAGGTCTCTAAGATTTTACCCTTACCCTTCGCTCGGATGTGCATCAGGCTTCCTCCATTCGAACACTACGTTGCACTCCATTCGAGCGCGGAAGTTCGACGGGAAATTCCCTTGGTTCGGGACCTCGGGTCCGGTGCGGAGGGAGCTATCCATGTGAACGGAGCCGACGGAGCCGCTCGTGATTCTGAGCGGGAGATACATTTGGTGCAACTAAGAGTTTCAAAACCCCATGATGGACGACTATATTAATTATAATTATATATATTATATATATGCATATTCATAAGTCACTTAAGTATATTCCATGATATCCCCAATTACTAACCATGATTTATCAATCTAATGTGATGTTGTTTCTAAGTCTGCAGAGCCAGCATCCTTGCGCCATGATTTTGCTCCATTGAACCGGGATGACCTGTCAGAATATGTCAGATGCTTAACTTTGACCTGTCAGTTCAGACTCGCTCGGAAGGATCTACCAATGGCCTCAGTGACACTTTCCCCCCAAAAAAAACACATCTTTTCCAAGCAGTTGGGCACTACAGTTGTGTCAGTGACATAAAACAGTTCTGCATCTGATGGAAGCCGCGAGGTTGGCCCCAACTTCCTAATGGGTGCAGACTACCAGGCGTGACGCCAGGACAGCCTAGGTATGTGGCAGTTTTAGGCCACAAGTGCTAGACACATCTAGACACCCTTCGGGAAGATGTTTAAGTTTTTCTTTTTACATAGTTAATATATGTTAATATGTCCTGAGAAATCCCCAAGTGTGATTCTGAGGCATCCACGTTCAGTCTTAGTCTTTTTGCGCTGTCATGTTCTATGACCATCATAGTGGCTTTCTCATACTTTCTCATGTTCATATTTTTCCATTGCAGGTTTGCTGATCAATGCTCCAGTTCCGTTGTTTAAATCTCATGTTAGGTCGGGTTTGGTTGCTTCACTTCCCAGACTGTTTTGTTAAACATATATATATACACATAATTACATGTATACATATATATATATACACATTCAGCTGTTTTGCTGAAATAACCAGTCTTGTGTGTTTATATATAGATCATAGTCGCAAATTCCTGATGCTTGGATCAAACCACTCTTGTTTGGTAAATCCGCCCGCGCAACCATGATTGAATACATCAACGGATTGATTTGAGGGAGATATTACTTGTGCCTTAGCGTTTATAAACCCAAATAGGTGTGTTCACACTGTACAATTCACTGCAGAAACATGCAGAAACCATTTCCGGGAATCCAAGCAGTCTAGCGAATTTTGGGTTGGTTCAATTTTAATTTTGGCCGTTGAAAGCACCAGTTTGTAGGTTGAATCACCGGTTTCTGTTAACAAACTCAAGCATCTTAGTTGAAACTATAGTAGCCCCTGAGAAGTTGTGGCCCCTCTATTCTTCAGTTCTTCAACTTCTATCACTCAATGGATTGGTTTAATGGAAAATCTACAGGAAACCATAGATTTTCCCATTCGATATGGGGCTTTCCTGTAAATTTTCCCTTAAACCAATCCATTGAATCACAGTTCAATCACCACAAAATGGCCGAGATCGTCAGCTGCTTCTCCCCATCCGTCGGAGGTCTCCGTCCGCATGGGCACCAGCTTGCGCTGGGGCGATTGGTCGCCGCCGGAGCCAGTGAGTAGCGACCTCAGGTCATAGGAAAAAGCATTATAAGATTTTGGTGATGTAATGTGATGTATACATTTTAGAGTCATAAGATTTTGTAATACACATTTTATATATGGGTATGGGTCAATACCTATAGATACATTTTTTGTGGGTTATTCACATCCATTTTAACCCAGCTATGACTTGGGGTTCACGGCACGGTACCAGGGTTTTGACCCATCCCCATACCTGTACCTCACATCGTGACCTCACTGGAATGATCGTAAATTTGATCACGACCTGCGACCGAGCCCTGGTTTATCATGGTTTATTATAGGGAAATATTCCCCAAATGGCCCAACTATTCAGGTTAGTGAAATATGATAATTTACCCAGAATGATTATTTGGGACCATGGAAGACCCCAAAAATCTTATCATTGGGGAAACTCTCAACTCTCCAAAGAATGTAACATTTTGAGGATGACCATATTAGGGGAAACTCTACCAAAATGCAGCGTAAAGCAAATGATAAAATACTTCAGCCAGGTCCATTTCGAGATTTTTCCTACGAAAAGTATTAAAACGTATGGAATTTCCACATTTCCAGGTTTGATCACTGGACGGTATGTGGGTATGACAGGCCAGATTTCCATTTCCAAGGAGAACCAAGCCAGCTATCAGCCATCATGTACCACTCGACCATGAGACCAACACAGGGACAGCGGTCAAACTATAGATTGTAGAATTGCATCGAACCAAGACCAGCAATCAAAAGTTGAGTGTTAGGCTTTGGTTGAGATTAAAACAGACTGAAGCGGCTTCACTTTTTTTGAGTTGAAGCGGCTTCACTTTTTTTGAGTTTAGACCTAATATTATGGTTGGTGAGTTTAACATTTGTTTTATCCAGCATTATACCTACACCTATCTTTACCTACCATATTTGATGGTTATAGTTATATGATATCATACAACATGATGTCATATGAGTTATATGTTATGTATTCCCATATGTAATGTTTCATGTTTTCTATCATCTCCGGCACCAGAGAATCACTTCACACCCCTTGGGGATTTGTTTTTCCAATTCACACCTCAGCATACCCTGGTTGCATGCAGTGTAGTTGCTTGAATGTTTCACCCAATAAATATCATTCTATACCATTCTATCATAGTCTGTCATATTATAAATGCACATACATATTCATATTATATGTACATATAGTCTAGTTATATATATATATTCTATATATATATAATAGTAATAATAATAATAACAATAATAATAATATATATTATATATATTATATATATTATATATTTAATATACTATGTATATTATATTTATTCTATGTATATTCTATATATATATTCTATGTATATTCTATATATATTCTATATTTGTATATATTATATTATATATATATTATATAGTATCTTTATATATATATAGTCTCTATATATATAAATATTATATATATAGTCTATATATATATATATATTATATATATATATTATATATATTATATATAGTCTCTATATATATAGTCTATATATATTATATTATATATATATATACATATCCTCATCATCAATCTTAGTCCCAGGCCTGGCTTCCCACATTCGTCGCAAGGCCTGGCGATGCACCCGCCACAGCCTGCAGTGGAGGGCTTCCTCCAACTGGACGATGTCTTGCTGCCCGTTGGGGATCTCAATTTCGCTGGCCTCGTCCGAGATCTCCACCGTGCTTTGATGCCGTTGCTTTTTTAAGGGAAACAATGGAACACATCAAGGGAATGAGTTTATGGTGATATTATGGTGATATTTATGAATGATGTCTTTTTAATATGGCATAGACATGCATTTTACATGTTTGTAGCTGTGCTCCCATCTAGTTTCTGGGCACGGTGGTTGAATGCTGTAGGACCAGATGGATATAGGTGACATAGGTAGAGATGTCATAGTTCACAAGGGTACCAAGATGTACCAAGAAATTTGACTCATATGACGGCCCTGACCAGACATAAGCGAGGCCCGATAACCATGCATGACTTTCAACTCTGATCAACAGACCGCATCTATATTTGGTAAATTTGGTGCAGCATAATTTGCTCAATGTTTGTCGTACTAAAATTGCGTTGTCATTGTCATACTTTATACACTCACTTGGTTGGTGGTTTCAACCATGTGCCTTCAGCATGATGATCCTGAATGACACCCATATTTGTTGAACGAGACATTGTTCCCATGAATTGGATGAAGGGAAATTACCCGACATCTAAATTTGGGGCAATGAACATGTCAAACAGACATAAATTAATGTAATTATATATATAATATGAAATAATATATATATAATATATATATATATATTATGTAGTTCTTTATAGGGGCTACCGGAGCTAGAAGTGATTCACCTGACAAATTGAAGGGGATTGGATGGATTCTTGGAATACACATTATCCATTGATTAACTGATTCATTTACTAATGTCATTCAATTACAAACATCATCATTTACAAATTTACTTGTTCATTCACATATAAACCATTATTTGATAAATGTTGCATAATGTCGATATTGACTGATATGTACATGTAAATATATACATACTGTATACAGAAGTTGGGAAAACTTATTGAATGGTATGACGCAGTGACGGTAAATTGTAGTTGTTCCTCTATTTGTAATGTTTATAAACCAAGAACCATCAACAATATGCATTTGAAAGCATACTTTATTCCATCAATGATATATGGTTTACAAACTAACAACTATCAATATAATCAAAGTCCAGCAATTTGTGCACGGTTGGATCAATAGTTCATATGTGAAATGTTGCGCAGTTTAGGAAGAACAACATACCCTCCAGTAATCAAACATGGCTATGTAAAATCCCCCATTTAAAGATGAGATTCCCATTAAGACCTTCATTGGGGGATTTCTCACTGCCATATTTGATTACCAGAGGGTAAGTCCATATAGAAATCACTGCTGATTGCTATATAATTTGCCTAACCATTAATCATCATTAGTCGTCATTATTGACCAATGATCCTGAAAAAAATCACCATCTTTGTTGCTTAAAATCACCATCAACCAATATTTCAACATCATAGAAAAAACATTGAATAGCTCATTGTTCACTATTATCAAGCACTACTGCAGTATCAACCACCATTAACTACCATTGATTGACAAACTCATTGCTGTTCAGTGCGCACCCGAGACTTCCAGGATGGTGCGACCTTCTTCCGCCTGACTTGGCCAGCCTTTGACACGCGGCTCGGTGTGTTGAAAACGGGCCACAAACGCGGAGACCTGGGAGGGACCCTGGGACATGTTTGAAAAACTTCGCAAAAAATCGTAAAACTTCAGAAAAAACTGGAAATATTGGGAAAAAAACCGGAGATAACGGAAGATCCTTAAGAAACTTAGAAAACACATTGGGAATTCCAAGACTTCAAGGTGGTTCAGGGCAAAAGCGTGCGAAATATTCATCCGATGAGCAGCGACATTTTGGAAGAACCAAAAGTCCGAAAAGATGATAAAAAAATGTCCTTTCTAATGCTTCTATGGCCACTCCATTTCCAGGTTCAAAGTTCAAACCATCAACCAAGAAGGTCTTGCCGTGTGTCTTCTCAAAAATACTGCAAGTTAGGATACATTATTTAGATTTATTTAGGGGTTCAAAAGATCGTAGGATGTGTACTTCAAGGTGGTTGGTAGTGATGGGCGGGGACATTGCGTTGCTATTACATTGCTATCCTGAACTGCCTACCACTCGGTAATCCTGTTTGGCAATGACATATTCTAGTCACACTATACCGATTACTCTCTCTCTCTCTCTATTATACATATAATTATATATACATATACACAGTCATCCTGGAGTACATAGAACATGGACATTTCAATGAAATCCTTACACAAACCGGAATGTTTCAAACTGCAGAACGGCATACCCTGTTTTTCATACTTTGGTAGATTTGTACATTTAATTCAGACATGCTGCACCAATTGACATGTCACTGAACCCTTTTACCAACTGCAGTCGACGTAGCTGCCCTTTTGAAGCTCAAACACCCGAGCTGCTGCCGGTGAAAACAGAGAAGGCGGCCGCTTGCTACGAGGACGAGGTGCGGAGGACTGAAGGTTGGGGACCTGGACATTTCCAGGTTATGAGCCCAAGCGGTTCACTGGGCAGATGAGTGAGTTCCATAGGAGAAGGGCCACCAAAGAAGAGATGGAGCAGGGTCAAAAGGAGATAAGACTAGCTGATGAAAGAATGAAAACAGAGGCTGAGAGTAGGGGTGAGATGCCTATACAAAACGGACCTGAAGAAAAACCTGAGGATGTTGTAGAAGGGGAAACGTCTCCACCGAAAGAGGGTAAGAGAGATGAACCTCAAAGAGGTACCCCTGCAAGGAATTCCAATCAGGGTTCAGGTGCCAAAGCGTTGTTGCCGCCTACACAACCTCCTCCTGATCCTCCTGCCCTTTCTCTACGTCAAGAGGTGGTGAACTCCCTTGAGAAGAATACGCCCGCCGACAAGGGTGAAGGCAACTTCAATGGTGGACCTTTGATGAGGGAGATTGCAACTCCCCCTGAACAACAAGCAGGAGATGATGCAAACCAAGTGCAAGGGCAATCCATGGCACCCCCGTTGTTCACCGAGGAGCAGCTGAGAAACTTTGCTGCACTGCAGGGACAAGCCGCATGGATGTATGGGCCCCAACAGTCGTTTTTCAATCCAATTGGTTTTTCACGTCCTTCATTTTTGGATGGAGATGCAGCCAGAGCTTCAGTGAGTCAACATGAAAGAGACATGGAGTTTCTGAGAATGCAAGCAGTGAGAGACCGAGAGGAGAAAGACGAATGTAGAAGGCAGATTCAACTGTTGGTAGAAGAGAACCGTCAGTTGAGAGCCAGGTTTGAAAGTGCTAGCAAGATGCAGACTGAGGATGAACCTAGGTTTGCGACTCCTGAGGAACAGCCGGATCAGACCAGCCCAGGTTTCGACATGGATGTGGATTGGTTGAAGCGGCGAAAGGAGGCTGACAGACCCCCATCAAAGGAGGCTGACAGACCCCCATCAAAGGAGGCTGACAGACCTCCATCAAAGGAGGCCGACAGACCCCCATCAAAGGAGGCTGCCAGACCCCCATTCCTACCTGAGGCTGCAGAGTTCAAAACCCCCAAGGAGGCTGCCAGACCCCCAAAGGTGGAAGCATCACAGCGTCCCCAAGAAGAAGGAAGCCGAGGTGCACCTGGTGGAGGGAATGCGCAGTTCACTGAGAAATCTTTGGAGTTCATGGTGATTATGATGGAAACTATGAAGGACCTACACAAGAAGGTCAACGAGACAAAGGATGAGACTGGCATGGTTCGAGGAGTTGAGATTGTGAGGTCCGGCACTCCTGACCTGCCGGTGTTGACCCCCTGGTCACCAAGCCAGGGTCCCCTCCAGTTGGGAGATTGGCTTCTGACTGTGGAGCCGATCATAGCTGATTTGTCAGCAACTTCAGAAGTGTGGTGGTCGCTGATGGTGAAGTCTGCAGAGCAGTGGTACCAGAAGCACATGATGATGCCCCCACTAGATCGAGTTCAACATGAAGTTCAACCGCCCCCAGAGGTCACCTTGGAAAAATGGTCCAGGTTGGAAAGAAGAACGGCATCGATGCTGCTTCAATCTGTGCCGGAGGTGGTCAAGGAGGAGTTGGTTTCAGCTCGACGGCTGAGCGTTTTTGGGGTTTTGACGCAACTGCTGTTGACGTATTGCCCAGGTGGTGTCTTGGAGAAGCAGACATTGCTGAGAAGTTTGGAGGAGCCAACAGAGGTCACCACGGTGGGCGAAGCTCCTGCTGCAATACGTCGGTGGCTACGTTGGAAGCTGCGGTCCCAGGAGATCGGTGCAGTGACCCCAGACCCGGCACTGTTGTTGAAAGGTCTGAACAAGTTAACACGCCGAGTCCTGGAGTCCAACAAAGAACTACAATTCAGGGTCAGCCTGGCCCGAAATTCCCTTGGTGTGGATACGAGGCCGACCGACACCACAGTCAGCCAGTTTGCCACGCACCTTTTGGCTGAGATCGAACAAGTTGCTCTTTCCGAAAAGAGGGCCACTGCTGCGATGCCAAAGGGCGAGGTGAAGATCAAATACTTGGACGCAGACAAGAACAAGCCAAAGACTAAAGAGAGGTCTACAGAGGAGGACAAGCCGAAGCCAAAATGCAGGTTTTTTCTCACGGATGCTGGTTGCAAAAGGGGAAAGGAGTGCACGTTTAGCCATGATGTCAAAGATGATCGTCGCAGGTGTTACAACTGCGGCAGTGTGGACCACCTTTCCCCAAGCTGCACCAGGTCAAAAGGCGCTTCTACCGAAACAAGCCCCAACAAGCCGAGGGTTGCCAAGGCCGAGGGGGAGGAGCGCAATGTGACTTCACCAATGAAGGAGTCAGAGACTGGAAGCCAATCTAGTCAAGGGGAGGCAGTGAAGGACTTGCTGGAGGAGGCCAACCGGATGTTGAAGTCTCTGTCGAGCTCTTCCAACACTATTGCTTCTACAACCTCTTCGACGTCTGAAGAAGAGCGAAAAGATGTGATGGAGCGCCTTCATCAGCAGCTGAAGTCGATGAAGACGTTCAAGATGAAGAGACTCAATGTTGGGAACGACGTTGGACTTGTGGATTCAGGTGCAACACATCCACTTCGTCCTAGACATGAAGGCGAGAATGTGGATTTGTACCCGGTGGTGGAGGTGGCATTGGCAGATGGAAGGACGGTGAGGTTGAAGATGTCCCCTGGAGGTGCTATGATATCACCTTCACCTGCCATCGAGCCTATCATCCCCATGGGCTTGTTGTCGCAGAAGCTGAACTGTGACATTTCCTGGAAGCAAGGATCTATGCAGATCCACCATCCTCTGAGAGGAGAAATCAAGGTGATGATGAAGGGAAGTTGCCCCCATGTTGCCAGATCTGAGGCTTTGACGTTGATTGCGGAGCTGGAGGACATCAAGATGGGCATTCACAATGAGATTGGAAGTTTTGATGCGGAAGTGGCATGGCTGAGAAAGCTGGTGTCGCAACATCCAGTGCTGTCTTCACTCCCAGAGCACATCAAGGAGCGGCTGGTGGTGGAGCCTGGAACTTGGTCTGATCTTCCAGGCAACAGACACTCAAGAAAGCGCTGGAAGAGGAGTGGCTTAGCAGTTCATTTGTATGCTGGGCCAGAAACAGGGTTCACTTTGCGGCATGCCATCAAACAGCTGGGTGGTTCTGTCGATGCCTTGTTGGAAGTTGATGTTCAACGAGGAGAACAACATGACATGCTGTCGGACCACGCAGTTTATCGTGGTCTGTTGAGGGTGGCTTTGGAGGGAAAGATCAATGCGATCGTTGGTGGGCCAAACTGCAGGACGAGAAGCTTGCTGAGGCACATCCCCATTCCAGGGCAGCCTAGTGCCCCGAGGCCGATTCGCCGCTGGGGAGGTGAGGAGTTTGGTATTCATGATGCAACAGAAGAGGAGAAACAGAAGCTTCATGAAGACGATGTTTTGATGTGGCGTTTTTGGTTTTTGTACATGGTTGCAGTGTACATGAGAAGGGCCAGAAAGGTTGAGACCGAAGTGACCGTCTCTGTGGAGCAGCCAGCAACCCCCAAGGAGTTCATGCCGGAGGTGGTGAGTTGGTGGGATACAAAAGAATGGGCAGAGCTGGCACGAGAGTTCAGCTTTGAGGAATCAACTTTCAAGCAGGGTGAGCTTGGTGGTCTTACCCCGAAGCCAACGACGTTTGGTGGGAACTTGGAGCTCTACGCAGCTGGTCATCAAAGGAGATGCAGAGCAGGAGAAAGGGTATCTTGCTCGTCCCAGCTTTCGAGATGGGCCCCAGGAGTGATGTCAATGGTCGCCTCAGCTTTGATCAGACAGGTTGAGGGCCCCACTTTTAAAGGGAAAGCTATGTCCTGGAGCGAGCATTTGGCTTTCAGGCATGTTCCATACAGGAGAGATTGTCGAGTATGCCAGGAGAGCTCACAACAATGCCCGCCTCATCGACTGGTCAAGGACCCAATTGCTGGAGTGCTTTCAATCGACACAGCTGGTCCACTGAAGCCTGCTTATGATTTGGGTGGGCACATGGCAAGGTATTTTTTGGTTGGAGTTTTGACCTGGAGGGTGCCAAAGGGGAGTGACAAGATGCAGAACCCCCCTGAAGAAGCAGCTTCTGAAGGAGCTCCGGAGATTGAAGAAGGAGCTGAGGATCCAGTTCCACCGGGTGAGGACGGATTGGAAGCTGAGGAGTTGCTTCCAGCCCAGCTCCCTGGTGAAGCGCCGGCTGAAGGAGAGCCTGGCGACGCCCCTGGTGAGGACGGGTTGGAAGGTCATGCAGATCTTCCAGTCCAGCTCCCAGGCGAGGCGTTTGGACCCCCAACTTTGGATGAGGTCACAGAGTTGAGAAGGTTCAGAATGGCCTTGCCAATGGGTTCCAAAAAGGCGAGAGATGTGGTGAACACGGTGATGGAGTTCGTGTTGCGGCTGCGGACGGAAGGGTTCCATGTGGGCCGCATCCATTCAGACCAAGGTCATGAGTTTGCTGGCGAGTTCAAGACATGGGCCCGACAGCGTGGGATCTACCTCACCAAAACACCAGGTGATGATCCAGCCGCAAACGGCAGAGCTGAAATGGCGGTGAAGGACTTCAAGAACCAGATCCGCAGAACGTTGAGGCAGGCCAGTGAAGATGCGAAATGGTGGCCATGGGCTTTGAGGTACGTCAATGAGGTGTACCGATGTGTCCGGATGGAGACAAGACCAAGTTGGCCAAGGTTTTTGGAAGAAGTAAGAGTCCGAAAGCGGACATGGAGGCGGGATGACCTGGACCCCAGAGTGGAGAAGGTTCAGTATCTATGCCCTTCAGTGGAAAACCATGGTCATTGGGTGATCAAAGAAGGCGAAGCCCCACGCCTTACGCGCTACATTTTGGCGCCCACCACTGAGCCGGAGGATGAGACGGTTTGGATTGCGGTGGAAAGAGAAGGGCGAGATGCACAAGAACAGCGACGCCGAATCAGAGGCAGATCAGCAGTGAGGAGAATGGATGCCTCAGTTGCAGATCCTGAGGAGGTGCTGGAAGAAAAGGAAAAGGCTGAAGTTCAAAGATTGATGAAGGTGGTGGAGGATGAGATGCAGTCCATCATCAACGACGACCCAGATCTGGCCGCCGAGGAAGTCAGAATTTTGGGAAGGCGGAGAAAAATGGCTGAAGTGAAGGAGGATGGAGATGAGATCCTTCAAACAAAGGTCATCTCACCAAAGGAGGTGGTCAGAAACTGGTCGGAGTGGATCCCATCAGTGAGAAGCGAGGTGGAGTCCCTGACCATTGAGAAGGCAGCCTTGAAGGAGCTGTCAAAGGATGAAGTTAAAGCGTTGAAGAAGAAGGCAGAAAAGGAGGGTAAGAAGTTGGAGATCATACCTTCCAAACTGGTGTTCACTGTGAAACCTTCCCCAGACCACAAAGAAGGGAAAAAGAAAACCCGGTGGGTTGTTTGCGGAAACTATGAGGAGAAGAAAGAGGGGGAGGAAAACTACTCAGGTGGTGCAGATGCCACATCTTTGAGGTTGTTGGCATGGATTGCATCCCGCATGAAGTGGGCCGGATGCATCCTGGATGTCAGAACTGCTTTCCTCAACGCGCAGATGGAACAGGAGCCGGATGAGGACCTTCTTTTGGTCCAGCCACCCCACATCTTGAAGGAGATGAAGTTTCTGGACCCGGACACACTGTACCTGCCATTGAAGGCAGTGTACGGCTTCAGGCGCTCACCAAAGCTTTGGGGTCTTCATCGAGACAAAACGATCAAGACCTTTGACATCAAGGTGGTCATTGATGGCCGCTGCGAAAGCCTGGAGCTGAAGCCGATGGAGTCAGAGCAGAACCTATGGAAGGTGGTTGTGGTCAGAGGAGGCTTCCAAGAGGCAGAAGAAGAATGGATCTCAAACGGCCGAGTCATTGGCCTTGTGATGACGTATGTCGACGACATTTTTATCGTCGCCGAGAAGCAGGTGGCGAAGTCAGTTGCTCAGAAGTTTCAAGAGACCTGGGCGACCACACAACCGGAGTGGGTTGGCGAGACACCAGTGAGGTTTTTGGGCCTGGAGGTGACTTGCCACCAAATCGAGGGGGAGGAGAAGGTCCAATGGTGCCTTTCACAAGAGGCATACATCAAAGACTTGCTTGGGCGCTATGAGGAGGAGGGAAAACCACGAAAGCTCCCTATCACTCGTGACCAAGCTTCGATGCCTCCAGATGTGATTCCCCCTTCGCCAGAAGGAGGTGACTTCCACAACTTTATGGTCATCTACACGGTGCTGATCATTCTGACCACGCTGATGGTCCAAATCCTGTGGAAGGTAGGAGTAGGCGCATTGGGCGAAAACTGGAAAAGAAGGTTTTTTACCCGTGGCCGAAGTCTCCCCATGGGTGAGGAAACGTCAGTGGCAGAGGGTCGAGCATGTGCTGAGGTGTGCGGACCTGTGGAAAGACCACGGCATCTGCCCTCGGCTGCTGGGTCGTCAAACCAGCCAAGCCCCGCTGAGGACGGGTTGGGGATGGAGGAGGGATCCCCAGTCCAGCTCGCGGTGGCTGAGCAGCGACGCGCCGGTGAGGGCGGGTTGGGGCAGAGGGCCTCAGTCCAGCTCCCAGCTTCGGCTGGTGAGGGCGGGTTGGAGGGTCATGCTGATCCTCCAGTCCAGCTCCCGGCTGCGCCTGCAAAAGCTCCTCCGCCAAAGGAGGGACCAAAGGCCCCGTCAAAAGCGGGCCAAACACCAAAGGCCCCACCAAAAGCGGGCCCAAAACCAAAGGCCGCACCACAAAGTGGCCCATCGGCTTCCAGCTCCTCAAGTGGAAGCACATCAAGCAGTATGACAGGCCGAATTGAGACGGCGATTCAAGACATTGCGTATGAAGAGGCAGCCCTGTGGGACCATTTTGGGAGGCAGGGCGACTTTCCAGGAGTGCCAGAAGATCATAGCAGAGCAGAACTTGGATTTCAGGTGTTGAGGACGCCATGTGGAACAGTGTATCACGATACACGTGGATGCACCCAGCTTCAAGGACCACGAACTGGCTATGCGAGACCGTTCACATGGTGTGCCTTGTGCCGAGAGGTTGCGATGCGCACCCGTGGAAGACCAATCCCTGGAAGTCCGCTGCTTTTACGAATAGGCGATCAGACCGTCCATACTGATCGAAGATGCCCGAGAGCACGAGATGCCACGGAGCTGAGAGGATGCATGTACTGTACAGAGTACAATGGGTAGGGCAGGTTGAGCTGTAAAGAAAGCAATGGATGCAATCTAACGACGCATCCAAGGGGGAGTGCAGAACGGCATACCCTGTTTTTCATACTTTGGTAGATTTGTACATTTAATTCAGACATGTTGCACCAATTGACATGTCACTGAACCCTTTTACCAACTGCAGTCGACGTAGCTGCCCTTTTGAAGCTCAAACACCCGAGCTGCTGCCGGTGAAAACAGAGAAGGCGGCCGCTTGCTACGAGGACGAGGTGCGGAGGACTGAAGGTTGGGGACCTGGACATTTCCACAAACAATCCATATTCAACCTAATTTCTTCAGGATGGTTATGTATATACCAATATATATATATATATGTTGTATATACGTATATATATATATATAGATATGTATTGTGTATATATATATGTATTGTTTAATACATATATATATATATGTATATATATATATATATATATATATATCTATATAGATAATCGTCCCTGCAAACCGAGTCCCCCTTTCCATTGCTATGTCTACCAGGGACATGCAAATTTCGCCGTGCCAAGGCACCCCTTGTGCAACTTGATTGAGTACCGCATCAGGATGAAGCGTCACTGAGATGCATGGATGTCATGGATGGAAAATGTCATTCCAAATGGCCATGGAAATGTCCTGAGTAGATCAACTTCAAATGGTGAATTTTCCGTGGTTATCTTAAATTACCAGGTTGGGTAACCAACATGATCCAACATGGCAAGGAAAACCCTCATGTCGTGCGAGATCATGAATGTACATACACATGGGAATTGCCATTTGCTTCTTTCACCTATCGACTTTCCTTACCTCGAATTCGGCTTTCGGGCTGAAGGATTGGCACTAAGACGCAGCTGCAGTCTGTTGCTGTGTTTATTTTCCCAGGGTCGGGTGAGTTTCACATGGTTTTTATCTTGTTGGAAGTGGATTTGATTACCGTGGAAATTATTTCAAGCTGGATATTCAAGGGTCAAAGAAATCTGAGCTGTTCATGATTTGTGTATCTCAGGGACAACACCATCTGTAGAGAACTGAGTTGCCGTAAACTTGGACAATTGATGGCAGCCATCGAACGTCGTATGTTGACCTATTGATGGGCTGTTTGAATCCCAAGCAGTGAGACAAATCTCTGCCATTGGGTATCTATGAGTCACGTCCAAGACGCCTTCAAGACCCAGGGGAGCACAGTTGGTATTTTTGCGTATGAACTATCCATATCAATATCTAGCATAATATTAGCTTTCCATGTTTCTTAAATGTTGGTCATTTATGAAACCTATGATAATTGATACTAACGATTGTCTTAACCATATGATTTGTAGTCTTAACCATGCGAGATCCATTTTTCTTGAGCAATCCAATTGACCACCTAGCAGCAATGGTTATTAACACCATGCACTTTTTATCAGTATGAACTATCCATATATGTTAACCATCAACTATTCCTCACTGACAACCTAGCTTTATAACGTTCTAAGCGCAATCATTGGATTATTTGAAGGGGAACATTAGAGGAAACCTTCCATTTTTCATGGCAAAATATGTCGTGAAACACCACGGGTTTCCCCGTTGATCCCAGGTGTGTCGCATTTCAGATACATGGAGCGCTTGTCTGACGAGATCAGGGCACGTGCCCAGGACACCAATTTTCGCCAGGGCAGTTGTCACTCGCCAAACACCTTTTGGATAATACTCATATATATAAATTATATGTATGATAGATTTAATACAAATATATCAATGCAAAGTGTATCATGTACTGCATGTGTATATATATATATATACATATTTATTTTTTTATACTAGTAACTAGTATGTATCAAATAATGATAATATACGCTTACTCAATGAAGATGTACGCGTACAATGTTGTATGATAGTTATTGTTATTGTTATTATTATTATTATTATTATTTATTATTATTATTTATTAGTTTTATATGTATACATAGTAGACTAGAGTCTATAGATACTTGTACGTTCAAATATGATTCAATGATGGTCAGGATTGGGGGTAGCCTGGACAGGAGAGCTTTGCAGCTCAAGAAGAGACACACGTGGTCGGCACCATTCGTTTGGGCGCCCCAAGGGTGGGGTTCAAGTGCTGATTCCGTGAAGCCCCGGTAGGGGCTGCGGTCAAGATGACGGTCTTATGTGGCATCAACGGGAAACGTTGTGCTTTTTAGGGGTATTAATGTTGTAAGATGTAGGGGGCAGTGGTACACCGTTGAAACCGCCACCACGGCCAGCAGAGGGAGACATCGAACCAGCAAAGTTGAGTGCTGGGCGTCAACTTGGAAGACTTTGGGATCGACACCCATAGATTTTGGCAATTTAGGAAACCGACCGGTTCTTTCCCCTCGGCTGGCAGCTACAGGTGTGCGAGTTCCCCAAGGGTGTGGCCCTGCGAAGGGATTCGGAGTGGCCTATGAGGAGGGACTTATGTCCAAAAACAGATGTGCAGTGGGATGTTGCCAGTCAAAAATGGCTGTTTCATGTGATTTCATGTGATTTAACATGATTTAACCACCACTAGCCCGGTAACCAACCCAACAACCTATTCATTGTGCATATGGCCCATTTTTTTTCCATTTGGGGATGGTGAAAACGTCATAGTTAGAACGAAAATCTAGGGTACAATGTACTATGATGTATACTATGTATGAATAACTATATGTACTATAATGATCTATATATCATGTATAAATAAATGTGTACTATTTTATAATCTATAATATATATATAGTTGGTTGGTTATATGTTGGTTGGTTATATATACACCATGATATATCGATATCCCCATGATTTCCCGTTGACGCGCCAGGAGAGAGAACGAGAAACCTTGGAATTTGTGTGGTGCTCAGATGGCTACTTCTGGATTCCTGGGATTTTATCAATCATGGCATCCTTTGTAATCCTATCTAGTATTAGTGATACTACAATCAGTAATCAATACATATCTTCATATACTCATGTATATATATATACACCTACATTGCAGAGATATTTGAATTATTAACTGATTGTTCCATATCTCATACTCCAACTTCAAGGCGGTCAAAAAACATCCCAGGTGCACCGCGTGGCCGCAGATGCGGAGTGTGGTTACCGCTTCTTTGTGGATGCCAAACACGAACGCTTCCGCGAAGTGGATGGCAAACAGGACCTGCCAAGAGAAGTGACTGGGAAAACGGATGTTAAACGAAGGGCCGCAACGAATGGATGGGTTCACCCTATGGGAAGATATGAAAGTAAAGATCATGTTTCAATGTGGTTGAATAAAGTTGAATGTGCTGAAATTGGCTTAAGGCACTATATAAAGATAACGACAGTCTTATAATAAACATGACCAATTGTGTGCGTGCATGGGGACCCAACCTTAGTTTCAACCCATACTCGTTGTTTTGGGGTGATTGTTTTTTGTTAAGATGGTACGGGTTCTGAAGCAAGAAATTTGGGGAGCATGTTGTTTCTTCGGACATTGGGACAGGACCTGATTTTGAGGATGGGCCCTAACAGCCTCATAACAGCATATACATCATATGATATATCATATGCCCTCCGATTTTATCAAACATGGTTTGCTGCAGAATCACCGATGTTTGGATGAAACTCTCCCTTTCCGATGTCCATTTCGTTCAGGGATTTCCGCCGGTTGAAACGGCCCAGGGACGGTCAGTTTTGCCGAGGATTGGAACGATGAATCCCTCCAGCCTATGGAGGGATTGTTTTGTAGATGAACGGATACACAATAGACCCTGTTATATGCCATATATATATATACATAGTGTATATTATGTTATATATATTATTTTATATATATATATGTGGATCTCATATCAATGCCTTACTGACGGGCCCCAAGGTACAAAAAACCATTTGTTAAAGCTGATACCCTTTTGTGAGGACAGCTTCCTGAAGGTTGCCGGGGAGCAAGAAGACTGGTCAGTAGCAATGGAAAGCGGGGCGCCTTGGAAGATCTTGGAAGATCTTGGGAGTGGGGTTCCTGACATCTCAAGCGATAAGAAAATACCATGACGATAGATGTGTAGAGGTTATCAGCAACTTTAAAATCTGTTTTTCTTGGTGATATATTGGGCAACTATACTCCAAACAATAAATTGATACTACAGTTGACATAGCAATTTGTATAATCAATAGTTGATTAATTAGTCATAGTGATTAGTTCTACTAATTTGAATAGCTATTCAACATTACTACACATTATTGATCATTTCGTCAACGGCTGTGACCTTTGTGGCCCCAGGTCGGGAGTCCATTGTGCCGCCCATGCCGCGCAATTCCTACGTGCCAGAGCAGGCGCCCAACAGTCCAATGCTTCATCTCAGGCATCAGGGGACCCCGAGAAAATTACGCTCAGATTATTTAATTTATGGGTTTATTTATCTAGATTCAGTGTCATATACAGCAATTTTATTTGACACCCTATTTATTTATATATATATATATATATATATATGTATATTGATTACATATATTTATATTGATATAACTATATTCATTCATTCATACATACATACATACATATATATATATATGTATTCATACATACACACACATATATACATACATACATATATATATATACTTATGCAACTATGTACTGTATAGCAAAAACATACCAAAATTCAAAACACACCTCAGACAGGTTCCGGTGGATGCAGATCCAGACCCCGAAACTTGGACGCAGCGGACCAGCAGCGGGTCAAGGGTTGGGTGAAACAGCTGGAAGTTTGGTAAGATAATATATTTCCATAGGGTCTAATCTTACCTAATATGATCTAATATGATATAGAAATATAATTAGATTAGATCATATTAGACCCTATGGATCCAAGTAATCCAAGTACCTTCTTAGGAAGTGTTTGGGATATGATTTGCGGGTTACTTTGATTGTACCCAGGAGGTGTTTGGATCCATAGGGAGGTAAAGCATGATTAATATAGACATGATTCTTTGACATATAAACTACGTGTTGTCAACGTTGTGTTTTTTTAAATTACCCCCTGGTTATTTAACATAGCCATGGTATAGATGGCCCATAGAAATAGATGGTTTACCTGGGTTTACCTATTGAAAATGGTGATTTTCCATGGCTATATTAGTCATAACCAGATGGTACATATCTTGTATAGCTTTTAGTGGACAGATCAGGCTGCAATTCGACTTGGCGTCACCATCCAGCCTTGAGGGGGAAGGACCAATCCACTTGGAAACAACCACTCAACCATTCTTCAAACCACAGAAGAAGTGGTTGGTGCTCTTTATTTTATTAAATTTTATGACTTCAATCACATATATTTTGAATGATCCCCAAATGACTTTCATATTTTTGGAATCCACGCAATGATCATATTGTTGATATATTCCACTATAGTCCTATGCTGCTTGGCATTGTACACCCCCCTTTTGTTGGTTGAATCCCCCTCAATGTCCAGAATGATTCCAACACAATATCCCAATAATATCCCTATTATCATTCTACAAATTATACCTTGACCCTCCAAGTACTTTGAAAAATGTGGTAACAATAACCCATTATGATTCGGGACTTTTACCCCAGTTTTGGTTCTACTTGGAAGGTCTAAGCATATGTTGAATGTGAGGAAACCGTACAACATATGTTATTCCACTACTTTATTATATAAGTGGTTCACCGGGTGACAATATCATACATGATCCACAGTATGATTGTAGACTACAGACAACTGCAGTCATCTACAATCAAGAAAAAGACATCGTTTTGGCCATTTTCCATCATTTTCCACTGATCCTTATATAATTCGCTACGAATTAACCATTTTCCAATGATCATTATATATACATATATATATATTCCCATGATATCCCCGAAGTAAGCCACCAATCAGAGAGCTCTGGCTCTCGCACCAAGGATCAGCTGAAGATCAGTTTCCCCTTGCGGCTGGATGAGGCCGATGCAGACCGTCCGGCAGCCAAAGGCGGCCGCTTTTTGTCGCCAAGAAAATTTGGCGTTCTCCAATGGAGACTCCCATTGGATGCTCCTGTGAGTTTGGGGGGAAACTGAATCATCATTATTTATTGTATAGATGAAGTATATTATATAACATATTATATAACATATTATGTAACATATTATATAATTATGCATATATTATTAAATTATATCATTTGTATATTAATATACAATTAAATATATGCACATGTTTCTTGAGCATCTCCCAAAAGCGTCAACCGAGGTTTAGCGGAGCCGCAGAGCCTGCAGCTGCTGCTCTTCGCGCCCTGGAAGGTAGCGATGGAGGCAGGCACGCTTAGTTGCTTGGTCGGTAGCTGGTTAATTAGTTAGTTTATGTTAGTTTATGTTTGTTTTTGTTAAATTGGTTGGTTGGTTGGTTGGTTGGTTGGTTAGCTAGCTAGTTGATTGGTCAGTCAGTTAGTCAGGTTGTTAGCTATTAGCTAATGAGTTAGTTAATTTATTTTGTTAAGTAGTTATATAGTTACAGCGTCTTATTTGGTTGGTTGGCTGGTGATAGTTGTGAGCAGGAGTCCCCATGTCACCATATGTCACCACGAGTCGCTGCAGGCATCACGTTGGCCCCACAGGGTGGAATATTCACCGTACCTTCCAGATGTCAATGGAGGCAGGGCTTTGGCTGGGCTCGTCTGAAAATTGGATAAAATTGGGAAGTGATTTTGATATCCGCTGGTTTTGATCGATTTAGATTTGTTTGGATTGGTTGATGAATGTTGATCAAATCAGAAACTATGCTAAACTGGGGCATCGCCCCAGTTTGAGACCCTATGTTTCCTAGTGCCTTCCGCGTTTCCAATTTTTGCCCTGTCGCCTGGGCAACGCTTGCGTTGTGTCCGCCAGGGCGTTTGCCTGTGCCGGGGGACATTAGCGAGGACGGGAGCAGGGAGGTGGTAGAGAAGTTGCTTCCAGCGGTTGATGGAGCTCCCAAGCCTTGCTACCCTCTGGTAATTTGTTACAGCTTGCAAACTGGAAAATGACCCATTTTCAGAATGGATAAATCTTCTATAGGAAGGGGACAAATTCTTTAGCTATGATTGTTTACTGGAGGCTATCTTCCCTTTTCGTTTAGTATGCAAATCTTGGGTGGCGGGTGATTTGGATGCAGAGCGTGATGACACCGGTGGAATCTTCCAGTAATGCGACAAAAAATTGATCGATAGGCTTGCTTGGCTCTACGGGTCTCCATGAAGAATTGCCAAGTGCAGACAATATTTTTCAGTGATACATGCAAATAAATTGAGCACCTGATGTTTTGAGTGGGTTTAAGGAAGCAAAGTAAACACCTAGCACGGCCACACTGAGGCATCCAAAATACAGGCAGAACGTTTCCAACATCAAACGCGTCTGACCAGGATCGGATTGATTGGTACCTGCCAGAGACGGTCGAGTGCGCGGCCTCAAGCAAGGAGGACAAACACTCCATAGACTCCGTAGACCGAAGTCAATGACGGTGCTGCAGAATCTGTATCCGTATGCATCCGTTCAAAATCAATAGTGGATGCTGATGATTGCTTATGAGGCTGTTGATGTCTGTCCAAAAGAATCACAGCAAGCATGAATACATTTCAATAAACATACATTTAGCATATTTTAGCGGTCATTTCATGAAACAGTATGAAACGGTCCGATTTCTTTTGTTTGTATTGCAAGTGCCCGCTTGGCCCTTGGACAGTTGACAGATGTGGTAACAGATGATCGCAGTGTTTTGGCATGTGTTTGTCAATTTTGTGAGGTGTCTAGTTTCAAGGAGTACCCAGTTATCACAGTTCCAAGAGTTTTGACCCCACAGGTACTTGTGGGAGGCTGAGAGCCAAGCACCTTCCGGGGGAAGAGGCGGAGCGAGTCGAGTTGTGACGGATTTATGACACGCTCCGAAACAGTTTTTAGTTGATAGATGTTGATAGTTTAGCCATGGCTTAGCTAACTAAAAAGACAACAGACAGGCGATTCTTTTGCTGTCGTTGTGGCTATTGGGAGCGGCAGGCCCCGAGCAGTGTGCTTTTGTGCTGGCACCTGGGCTAGATGCCGATGGGAGTCATGGGAGAAAATCATGGAGACATGGTGACATGGAGGATAACATTCGTGTGTATATATATATTCATTATACATAAATTATATATGTCATATATATATATATTCATTATATATAAATTATAGATATTCATTATACATAATATATATATATATATATATGTCATATATATATATATGTTTTTGGATCTCACGCTATCTCATTGTTGATCATGTTTACATATATGTTTACCATATGTTGGCCATGGCCTATTTATGTAAGCCATTGCTGGTGGCCATATAATGGGGTTTGATCTCGATGTTTGGACAATCCATCCACGTTTGACTGGACAAACCCATATTTCTCAGCATCCAAATCCACTTCTGGATCACACAGTGCCCGGCTCACTCGAGGCGTAAAGTAGGGGTGGGAGACTGTCCGAGTTCGGGGACGCTGTGATGATACCCGATTTGAAGTCGGCTACATGAGTGTCGCAAAATGAAGGTCAAGTTTCAAACCCTGAATTCATATGGATTTCTCAATCGAGACCCTTGTTGCTCAATTCTATACTTCCCTCAAAAAGATGGAAAAAACAAGTCAACCAGTATTTTGGTATGTTTTTACGTGTCCATAGGGTAATTTGATCTTGACATTTTGAACACAAAGTAAACATCCGAGGGGGCCACGTGACAGTAATCGATGCACGTGGCACGGTAAATCCTTTGCCAAGATGGAACAGATTTCCAGGCACCAATGGAACGCCAAGATGGAACCCTTCATGGAATCCAATTCCAGGTCAAAAAACGGTGTTACTGATTGATTCATATTTAATCCCAATATATCATATATCCCAATCTTGGTGGCACAGTTTTTGATGGATTCTTAAGGCGTTCACGGGTCCTCCCAGGCGAAAGGCTTCGACGAGAATCTCTGGGAGACGGAAATGACACGACAAGCGTTGCACCGAGAACAGACTAAGGCGACACTTCGACTGTTGATGTGAGCAGCTCGGTGCCTATGCCTAAGGTAGATCCGGAGGATGAAATCTATCGAGGGCAAGCAACTATAAACTGCATTTGGGGATGGTTTATACCAAGCATAAAAATAGTAATTTTGGGGATGGTTTACCCATTAAAGGAGCTCAGGGCTATAGCAGAAATGGATATGCAATAAGATTCTTATAACGCCACTATACTGTAAGTGGGGCTCACTTGTTTGTAGGGACTCCTGTAGAATTGCTTTTGGAGTCCCACAATATGAAATGAAGATACTGACAGAACATTGGTGAAATATCCTGGTCATAAAATCCTTTATCAACAAGATATTTCCTTACCCAACATACTTGTAAATGGGGGTTTCCTAAAATAGGGCTAGTCCTAAATCATCCAATTTTTAGATGCATTTTCCATGACATAAACCATCCAGCTATTGGGTATCCCCATGACTAGTCGGAAAGCCCCGATTTTTGCCCTGGGTCCCACGTCTCAACCTACCCAACACGCTGTGACGATGGTCCCATCCCATCACATCGCACGGCAGGTTTCTAAATCAGGAGTCGACAAACACACAAAAGATATAGACATACCCATATTTGTAGCGATCATAAACTTATCAAGTTTAGATCTTCTCACACTTTCACATATATTGATAGTATCAAGCCATAGGTTAAACTCGAAATATATTTAGATTCGATCCTGTTAGTATTAATATGTATTAATCGCGTTATACTGTTAGATATAGATATTCTGATCTTCTCACAATATCGCCACATGTGCCCTGATCATCAATCCATTTCCTTAGGGCATATGGGATTTAGATTAACCCATGCTGTTTGGATTCCCATGGCATGGGATAGATGACCGGGCAAACCATGCATCCAATATGTGCCAGAATCTCCCATGATACTGGAGGGTAAATCATCAATGGCCTTGTCAGGAAAGGATTTATTGGATGTACCATCTTATTTCAGGCCTATGTTTTGGACTAAGTTTCAGGGGATATATCATGATTTCTGATATATCCTCAAAATATGGCGACTGACATGATACACTACCTCCATTTTAGCACCGTGGCATCCTAACAATATTGTTGAGTAATGATGAATGTAACATAATGTGACCATATAGTTGGGTATATTATTGCATATTATTACATGATATTCATGATATTCCGTGATTAGTTGGTTGTAAATTAATATAGGATCTTTTTTTCTGTATAATCATTACCATTGGTCATACTATCCCATAATCCCATATTGATATATGATTATTTCCAATGTATGATTATCATGGGAAATAATGTAAAACATGGGAAATCATTGGATACTTATATAAAAATAGCAATAAATCTTCCAACCCCTATCTACCAGGGTCTATGTTAATTTACTGGAGGGTATCCCATAATCAGTAGTAATATGATTTCCCATGATTTCCCATGATTTCCCATTTTTAGGATCCTGGAATTCCCGACACCCTCCAACGTGGTGGAGCCAGGCCTTAGGGCTCTTCGCCCGCATCCGGGTGGTGCGCCGGGGACCTTAACGTTCTTCTCGGTGAAGATTTATTGAACAACACGAGTAAAAAATTAATCCATTAGTTTGATATAGGTTGATTATGTGTTTAATATGTTTATAATACAGTGTTCTAATGGATTTAATCAATAAATCAACTTAAATTCAACTTAATGGATTGGATTTCATTAACTTCATCCATTAAGTTGATTATACCAATCCTTGAAGTTGATCTATGTTACAATTACAATTTTATTCGAATTGACGTGTCAATCCATTAAGTCGATTTATTGATTACCCTTTGGTTATGACTAACATAGCCATGGTATAGATGGCCCATTTCTAGATGGTTTACCTATAAAAAATGGTGATGTTCCATGGCTATGTTAAATAACCAGATGGTAAATATAGATTACATTAAAATACAAGTTGATACCATATGAATGATTCTATGTGATAGCATCAAAACATGACATTTTTTGTACTCAATTGCGATAGCTTTTTTCATTCACCCATTGGCTTTGGGGTTTGGCCCATCTTTGGATATGTATCCTTTGTTCAATGGTAATGTCATGATCCTAAAATGGAGGTACTGTACCATTCGGCCATATTTTGTGGGGATATTCCCTTACATAGGCCTGAAAAATAGGCCTTATATATGGTAGGTACCTCCAATTTGGCTTCCTTTTGCATGGCCATGGATTTGTGGATCCATGGATCCATGGATCCATGGAACTGGGCATTAAAATCACCATGGTTGATTTGATTACCATCACCATGGTCACCATGGTTAATTAAATTCGTATGAACATGAAATCTAATTGAGTGGTAACCATTACCATGTTCATATCAATGTTCATCACCATCACTAAATTAGATTTGCTTACCACTTGTACATTAAAATATATTATTCCTAATGCGATTACCACTGGGTTTCGAAAATGATTTTCCTATTGAATATTACATTGTTTTGGGTTCCGTGTGATTTTTTTGGAGGTGCAATACAATGATATCAAAGTCGTCATCATTTGCTCTTAGATTCCGCTACTATAAACACATAAATTTAACATATACATTACACTATGTACACTACTTGTATATATTTCTACATGTCTCTATCCGTAAATAACTATATATATATACATACATGTACTACATTACGATAGAATATGGGCAAGTCTGTACAGAGATGATATATAGAACATAATGCTATCCCAGAGATGTGGGGTACAACCCCACCACTTGAGGCGAAGGCGGCCCCGAAGGAATGCAGCTCTTGTCGAGCCCCTCGCGGCCCCTGCGGCTCTACGTTGGGAGACTCGGCCCGGGCCTGGTGGAAAAACTGACGCTTTGAACCAGCCAAAAGGGGGATTTAAAACATCAAAATTAAGATTCAATTTAATCCATGAACATGTGGATGTACCCTTTGGTTATGACTAACATAGCCATGGTATAGATGGCCCATTTCTAGATGGTTTACCTATAAAAAATGGTGATGTTCCATGGCTATGTTAAATAACCAGATGGTAAATATAGATTACATTAAAATACAAGTTGATACCATGAATGATTCTATGTGATAGCATCAACACATGACATTTTTTGTACTCAATTGCGATTTCATCGATGAACATAGGGATTTTTCAGACAGAAAACATGGATCTGGACGGATCGATTTGGGTCTATAAAACCATCACTGGAGGTATTTTTGTTGGACTATCAACCGGTCTTTAAACACATAGCGACTCTAATATTTGTTGTCATGCACATACATGCACATACATGCACATACGCATGTCAAACCATGCAAAACCATGGTGCAGTACTTTTGCTTAAGACGTTTGAACAGGAGTGTTGCGTTTGACTCTGGACTGTTCAGCATTTCAGGTGATTTAAAACCTGTTTCCGGTTTTTGAAACACCTGGTCCACAGGGGTGCGATTGATTGAAAGCATAAGTCTTTAGAACATTTGGTGTTGTTCCTCAAGAGGGAAATGAAGACTACCATGTTCTGCTTGGTCAGTGCAGTATGTCCGGAAGTTGGCCATCCTTACATTGGGGAATCTCGCGTGGCAGAAATTGGTTCTGTGCCATGCTCTTAAAAACCATCAAACCTCTGAAAAGAAAGGGAAAATTCAACGTCATCACCGTCATCACTACAACAGGAATCAAAGTCCAAAGTCCAAACTTAAGGCACCAATCCAAGGGTATGACTTTCCTTGAAGCCTTGCTGCCAGATGCCAGCAATCAATGACCTCAATGTGGTGCGGGGCTGAGGATCCGCTGAGGACCCCATGGGTTTACAGGCCATGTCAACTGGTACCACGTGCTACGACTTTTCAGCCTTTTTTTTGTTTCAAGCCCAGCCTCTTTTGCATATGTTTAAAGGGTTTAGGATGGTTTAGGCACCTTTTATGCAAGCGATGTCGAAAATCACTTGTCAAGGGATGAGATATTGGTGGAGTTTTGACTTGCGAAAAGTGACGAAGATGACTGGGTACATCTTCTACTCCAATGTGTAGTGCATATATATATATATATACCCTCTGGTTATTTAACATAGCCATGGAAAATCCCTTATAAATGGAGGTTTTAATGGGAAAATCAGCTAAAAATGGGCCATTTCCCATGGCTATCTTAAATAACCAGAGGGTGTGTATATACATTTAGATACCTAGACACTCCAAGTATCTACAAAAATGCGGTAATTTATACCAATTATTTGGGGATGTCTACCTATGATTATGGGTACTTGGAGAATCCAAGTATAGGTATAGGTATATATATATGATGTTCAGCGGCCCCAGAAGAACCCTCAATAATGTTGATGTTGATATATTTTGCATTTGCTATTTTGGATATGTTTGTCTTTTTGATGAAGTAGAGGCAGAGTATGAATAATATATGGATGGACCTGTTCGTACCCTAAAAATCTTGGGTTGATCTACTCAAAATGGCCCCTCCGGCTGTGTGGCCCAGTCTGTTTGGAGCAGCAACGGGCGCTTTTGCGCCTTGCTGTGGTGGCCGAGTATTGTCGCACTTTGCCCGGCTGCCCAAGGGCCATTCCAAGTGGCAGTTTGGAAGTGTGGAAAACGGCCATGTGTTGAAGTCAATTGGACAATTGGATTCAGAGTTATTCCTTGGATCTGTTTGCTGAAGTTAAGAGTTGGTTGGTCTCCTTCAGGCTTGGTCCTGAAGTCTTGTTGAAAAGCCTCCGTTTCATTCTGCTTCCACATCAGCTGATTGCTTGGAGGTTCCTATGTGACCTACTGCTGGCCTGGGTTGAAGGATAAATCTGCAAGAACCACAACAAACATGACTAAACAATGCTAAAAACCATGGCTTTCTGGGTGTTGAATGCCTGAAACCCATCCATTGATTGGTTCTATATACATGTTCATCTATTTTGATGGCCAGATCCCTATTTGTATTTCTTGATGTTCTATTTCTTGCTAGATCCCCACAGCGTTGCCACACATGACCAGTTTTTTGGGCACAACCCAGGCGCTGAGAAGGACAAGAACTTGGATATGTCAGGGCAGCTTCACCAGGCGGTGGTGGTTTTAAGCATCAAAAATGGGAGTTTTACCACCAGTAAACAAACAACATTGGTTGTTAATGGTCGATTTAAACATCAAATACGTCTATGTTTGTTGCTTTTTACCACTTGCAAGTGGTGGTTTTAAGCCGGATAAATGGCGGGTTTAAGCAACACACATGATGATTTAAGTAAGAAAATGGTGACTTCATCGTCAAAGATGTTGGTATAATGGGTGTTCAAGCCCTAACAATAATCATGATCATTGAGGCCTTTGAACAGGAAGGACGTGCAGAAAATTGACCCAAACTGGGTCAACCCTGGGATTGCTGAACATCGATGAATGGCGAATGGGCTGAAGGCAGATCATAATTCCAGATGGGTTGTACTTTCTGGTGATTAGATTGATGTTTGATTGGTGTTTTCCAGATGATTAGCAGGTAGGCCCTCTGAAAACTGGGGATTGTCAAGTAACATGTTTGTTTACCACATCGTAAATGAATAGTGTTTCTTCAGTAGCCTCAAGTTTGTTGACATGTGGTAAGACATTTTTTTATGTACCCTCATGTCGATTAATCTTTGAAACATGGTTCCATCTCTGTGCATAGGAATGGGATGACTTGTATGTTCGGATGGCTTTCCCATTGCTGATATATATATATATATATAAATTTGGCAAAGGAAAGATGAGTGGCAAGTAGTTCGTTTCAAGCCTCTTTATCCAGACTCTCCTGAAATCACAAGTAAGAACAACATCATCCAACCTTGGTCACTGAGAAAACCAAAGATGTGGGGTACCCTTATCTTAGGGAACATCCATGTATCACTTAAATTCCTTAGAACCTTTGGCTCAGGGCCTCAAGATCATCAACGTTCCCAACGAGACATGAGATTGCCACAACTTGAAAAAAAACGAATCACCAAAGATTGCTGAAGTGGCAACGATTGTCATCAGAGCATTTCTTCCACATCGCGTTCAACGGCACTCTGTTGACGAAGTCGTTTCCATCCGTTTATATTATTGTTCCTTTTCTGTCTTTGCACTATGACCAAGGTGCTTCCTTCAACGCTCACCACACAAATTCCAACATTCAATGGGCTGGACTGATATGGACTGATCGCTTTTAATGATCATTAGAAACACAGCTGACTTCCAAACCATCTTTAGTACTGTGGCTCGTGACGTCGTGTTGATGCCATGGGCAGTGGCGGATCAAAATTGGACGCAGCATGGCCAGATAGTTGGGAGATCTCTGGTGGCTAATCAGGTGGATCAGGTAGTTATTTTTTCAAATCACATGTCTCGCTTGCCATAAGAAGAGTAATGAATAATAGCTATAATGATCCTGATTTGTTCAATATATTCACTTGTGGGAGTAATGTCAACAAAATGGTAAGTAGAGCACTGAGGGTTTAACAAGCCTAAACTGGAGAGCTGCTCTCCAGCAACCCGTGTGTCTAGAATTTCAATACTTCACCATTGGAATGGACGGATGTTCACATTTAGAGTTCCTACATTTTTTGGTTTTTGACTAACCCCATGGATTCCAGAGGTTTTGACTACCTTCTGGTAAACTAACATAACTATGGAAAATCACCAGGTTTAATAGGAAAACTCACTATAAATGGCAATTTTCAATAGCTATGTTAAAATTACCAGAGTGTAACCCATATCCAATCATTGCCATGTATTGGGGAGGATGTCGGATGGATATGATGGATCCGTGGAAGCTAACTATGGATGCAGGAAGAGTTTCCTGTTGAATGGATTGGAGATATTGAATCAAAATCGCTACAGTAGTCATTGCAAACACCCAAGCAATCCCAGATGCATCGGCTCAGCAAGGGCCTTGTTCCATTTTGGGACTGGGATGTATACTTACTCTCATGATATCTCATAAACATTCATAAACCAGGCTGTTCTCTCAGCATCCATGCAGAACTTGTCAAACATTTGAGGTCAAACACCGAATTGATGAAGTTGAGAAGGCATGCGCTGGAAAGAAGATAGGCGGGTGGGGCCGGGTGGGGGTGCATCAATTACATTCAAGTACGGCATATAGAGGAAGCATCACTCTTTATTCATCCCCACTGAGGGAGTCGCAAACATTGACATATCTTTGAGATAGTTTAAGCATGTGAAAAAACACAACCCGTTGATCCCAACGTGATTTACCCGGCCCGGTCAGCCACATCATTGGCTGGAAAATCCCCATGGATGATGTTCGCTTGATTTCCAGCCATGACGCCAAGCTGGGTATATCGATGTGCCAAGCCAGAAAAGCATCATCGCCACTATGATTTCCCGTGGTCGAAATGCACGTTGAATCATAGGCTTTGCAAGTATACCCTTTACATCCCTTTACTAATGATGAGTTTTTAGACATCATATCTCTAAGTGTGTTCCCACTCTTTTTTTTCCCAGCATTTGTTTTGTTTTTTTTCTGCCAGGACCTTGTTTTTGTCTATCTCCACATCTTCTGCGCCGTGAAATCGGTGCCTAAATGCTGCAGGCACCGGCAAAGATGAACTGGATGTCATGAAGAAATGCTCCGAGGACTTGGCCATGAAGCAAATGTTGATGATGTTGATAGTATATAGTACATACATTATATAATGTAACTTAACTGCATATATATATATATATACAATATATACATATATATATATATATTATATATATACATATATATATATGTATACATGTGTATATATATATAAATACATATATATATATATACACACATAGTCACTTTTCGCGTGAGATTGCTAGAATCTGGACATGGTTCATGAAAGCAGAATGATATGGGCTACGTTTGGGGTCTCCCATTTTCTGGCCTAGGAGCTGAGGGCAGCGATGGATGAGGTGGCAGCGAAGAGTCCCCTGGCGCACCCATAGCTCTGTCCGCAGCAAATTATGGGAGTATAAAACCAACAACGATTGGGGTAACAAGGGGATATAACACTAATCCCAATTCCATCATAAATATTCATAAAACAACATTGTAAATCCCATAAACAACCAACAACATCATGTGATTCATGGCTTTGTCCAAATATGGGGGAATTTACTCTAAGCATTATATTGATAGTTTTAAGAGGGGACATTGTCATACATGGGATTTGGGCGTTTACCCAAATATTGGAGATACCGAGATACCCCTACTGTTGCTGCCTTGGCTGGTGGGATTTGCCAACAAGACAGATTGAACCAGGGGTTTGAACCCAACGAAGATTGGGGATTGTTTCATCAAATTAACATATGGGAAATAACCAACATGTGGAAATTGACCAGCAAACATGGCGGTTTACACAATGCGGTTGTTGAACCAATGTCAACATGTAAAATATGTAAATGTGATGATATTCTGTGGTTCTGATACTCTATGGGCTGAACATTGTCAATGGTTCAATTCAACAATACAAGACTCGCAAGGGATAAAAAGGAGTGTGCAATGATGCCCAGTGATTCGCACATGAAGCTGATCTATTCTGATTATTAGATTCCTTTCTGGGATGTTTATATTGTTGCTTAAGCTTTCAACCATTACCATCAGGCTGTGGTCCAAGGTAGATGATTGGAAAATGGATGCAGTCACATTAGTCGTGCATTTTGGGTGATCGGCGCATCTATTTTTCAAAAAAGGGACTGAAACTACTAACCAGATTGCTGCGTGACGATGGTCAGCAAGAATCTATCTTGATGATTGTTTGTTATGTCCTTTGACCCTAACCCCCATTGTCTCACTAAACAATGGGTTGGAAGGCTAATATACTAGTGGGTCTTAATCTTCATGTCGACATCCTTCATATCCAGCTAGTTGTGCAGGGTATGGGTCAGGTTAACCATGTTCTTGGGCTATTGCAATCAGCGACCTCACAACTTGCCCATGATGAGTAAGGGAAGTGTCCCAGTAAGGGAAGTACCTCGATATGGGTTAACTTCGAGTCACCAATCAGATCGGTTGTCTTGAATGACCTCTGATTGTCAGAGGGTATACCATATTTATGCCAAAACGTTGAATTGTTGTGAAGCAAATGTCACCAAAACATTGTAATTGTATCGGTTGAGTCAGCCACACAGGGGTCCTGTGGGTTATTTTGGGCTTTCAATCCATATACTTTGGGAACATGCTAACGATTCCAAAACTATATAAACCAACAAAAAAATAAATCCATCCTCATCATGTCAAAGCTGGAAATGGTTTCCCCCTCTGACAAATAACTTGGATGATTAATGCCTCATTTTTCAGGATACCTCATGGTTCGTATTGTTTGTAGTGTCCAAATAAAAAAAAACATATAAATAAAGCACACCAAAATGAAGCCACGGTTAAGACGACTGAAACGCAATAAACCCATCTTGTGGGGTACATCCTCCATTTACTAAACATCAGAAAATTGGATCCGTGTCAGGCAGCCCAGACTTGCATCTCATCGACCGCATCGGTGGGTTGAGCGCAGCTGGGCGACAAATATGGTTGTTGTTTTTTGCACAACTGGAATACGGTGGATGAGAGGTTTCACGACATATAATATATATACATAATATATATATACATAATATATATATATATATATACATAATATATATATATACATACATATTATATATATACACAATATATATATACACATGTAGGAAACATGGATGAGCATGATGATTGATCCACAACATGATCAGCCATGTGCGAGGACATCATCTACTGCAACCTCGAATCGAGAATCACCTTGGAGCTAGTGCAACTGGCAGATGCTGCAGATGTTCACAAGGACAGGGCAGCGGTCTATTCCTCAAGCTGCAGACGCCTCAAAACCATTCAATTGAAGAAATCTCTTTTGGTAGGCAAAGTGACTGGACATGCCCAATTTGTAAGGGCAGATGCTCAACGTTAGATTGCGATATTGCTATAAATTATATGGAGCTATCCTTGGATAAAGCCTCAAAGGCTTCCCTCGGTGTTGGCTTGACTTTTGGGCAGGCCGAAGTAGAGATTCAGTGAAGGTGTCAGCCTGAGTAAGTCTGGAATAAGTCAGGTAAAAGCAAGGCAGCAGTTCATACAGTTATACCCCCATGCATGGAATGCCAACCCCATTTACCATTATAACAATTTAAAACTGGTAAAGGGTGCATTAACTCTCTCTCTCTCTGTATATATATATATATGTATATATCTACCTGTATCCTCGAAAAAGCACAAATAATAAATAAATGCTCATTTGCGAGATTTCTGTTTTTTGAGCGGTTTTTCCCCCAAACGAGCGTAATTGCACCACTTTTGGCATTTTTGCACTTTGTGCATTTTGAAGCCCAAAATATGAGCGTATTTTCCCGGGAAATAAACAAGTATAAATACCCGGTAAATGCCCGTCCGTCAAGAAACAAATGCGCGTTTTCTAGTTCAAACAAATGAGCATAAAAAGTCAGGACGAGCGTAAATCCAAGCGAAAACTGCTATGAACAGAAAAAGTGCAAAGTGAAGATCCAGGTATATACACACAGTATATATATATAGATAGAGTATGTTCCGACAGCCAAAAATCAAGATTACTGTAGATAGTATGTTCACAGTTGACGGTTAGAATTGGGTTTGAAGGCAAGAAAATCAGGCCAACGTGATGCTAAGTGTGCTTTTCAGAATGCAGATACTCGTATGAGCCAGAATCATCCACAATCTAAGACTCCCGCGACAAGGATTGTTTGTTCAGATGTAGTGAGTGATTGGATGTGTTTAACCACATTCCTCCTCTATTGGTTTTGAGTTGCGCCACATTGTCATTTGTTCCACCCTGATTTATAGATATTTATATATAGTGGCTTTAAGAGCTTTCTGGCTTTGCTCCTGAGTTCTGTACATACTGCACAGATTCTTTTATATATAATATGTATACACCCTTTTGAATGTGTCACGGTCCAGCGACTGTCCATCCAACCGATGCTTCAACTCTACCCAGCCGCTAAAAAAAAAATGGATCACAATCCATATCTCCATCAACTTCCGCATTATGAAGATATCCTTCAATCCCATCTTCAATCACCAGTGCAATCTCGAGCTTCACCATTTCCGCATTTCCCTTTTATTTTGAAGCCATATTCCCATTTGCTTGGTGGTTTGGAACGTGGCTTTTATGACTTTCCCATCATATTGGGTTTATGTCATCATCCCGTCACAATCCCGTCACTCATATTTTTCAGAGGGGTAGGTATACTACCAAGCACCAACCAGTCACTATTAACCCATTATTAACCATTACTAACCATTACCAACCAGTCACTAACCATTATTAACCAGTCACTAACCATTATTAACCATTATTAACCATTATTAACCATTATTAACCGTTATTAACCATTATTAACTATTACTAACCAATCCCACGGCCGCAATTTGACCAGGCCATCATGGACATCGCCGAGGACCTGGACTCGGTCCGTGCCACCAAGGTCTCGCCGAAGGTGCAGCAGAAATGGACCGAGGCGGAGCAGCAGAAATACGTCGCTTGGGCGGTCGTGAGGGATGGGGATGGCGCCTGGGGATGGGGGTTTAAGGAGGGGAATATGTCAGTAGATTCTGGCTCAGTAGTTGGGGTTAATGAAACTTATGATGTATTTTTAATGATTCTAGAATAGATATAGACTTGTGCCAAGATGATGGGCGAAAAACTGGACGACCTAAGTGAATCACTTGCAGCTACTGTATGTTTGTTTGAATTTGGAAGGATTTTTGGACCGTTTCTTCTGCTTGTTGCAGTCCTCCGGTGCATACTGCAGGTCAGTTGGATGATCCTGGAGCTGATGGAAACTCACATGAGACCAATAAAATTATCCAAAGATTGATTTTGAATTTGGAAGATTATGTGCCTATTTGAACATGGATAACATGGCATTCCTATGTGATTTCCTGTTCACTGCATCAGCTGTGATTGGACTATGGTGGTTGTTTTCAGTTCTTCAGCCGGGTACCCTTCCAGAAACGATGCCATTGAGGCCCAAATCTTGAAGGAATTGGCGGAGTTGATCAAAGGTGGGCTGAGTTGCAGGGCAGGTGCTAAAGCGGATATGCCACTGGATATGTGTACATATATATAATATATATATATATACGTGCATATATATATATATATACTATAATATAACATAAGTGATATAAGTAGTGTATATATATATACTCGATATAATTGCTATATAATGAATGAATCACAACCAGATATATACCCAGATACCGGAATTGAACTTTCAAGCTATTACGATGGCACCCCAAAATGGGGCACCAATGACCCACTTGCTGCTCATTTGCAGCTGGATCATTGGATTCCCCCAAAGGATGCCATTGGAATCCTTGGAATTCAGAATGTTGTATAACTTGGGGTGGTCCAGAGGGTGTCTTGGACACACCCAGTAGATATTTTTGTTAATAACCTTAGATTCCTCACGATTGTTGATTCAATCCCCAACTGGTTGGTGATTGAACAATACTTTACTTGACGTTCCATTATTCTCCAAGGCGGATGAATCCTCCAAGTATCAGCTGGCTTATCAAGTTTTTGAAGCTCATAGAACCTATTTTTGTCATATCATGTTGAATCAGACTGCCATAAACCCAACAGATCCCAGTTCTGCTCCAGGCCTTACGGACATCTCCAAGTTGCCAGAGGCGCCATGGTCAGCCATGGTCAGAGTAGCCACATCAAAACGCTGCAACCTGGTTACCTAGTAAAGCCACGAAAGAACAAAACAGCCGGTTTCAATCATGTTCATTTTCCACCCCTATATGGACAATTGATCTCCATGGATGAATATTGTTGCGAGTGAGCCCAACAACAGCATGTGATTGTGGAGGTCTAGAAACTATATGGAGCACTTGACTTGCTGGTAATGTGTTGCGCGGCTACGGGTACTCCTCGAATTTTGGGCTGGTTAACGTTTGGTTTCCCATGACCTGCTTGCTTCACCAAGAAATTCCCACGATGATCCCCAACAAAAAACGCCAACAGAAGCGCAGGCGCTTGATGAAGTGAATCAGAAGTTGGAGGTTCAGCGCTTGGTGCCGATTGTGACACATAGCTAGTTGTGATTGTGAGATATTGTGAGTAGTGCCTCCCACTTTTTTGTCTAAGGTTTTCTCCAGTTTTGTGGAATGGCAGGAGGACTATTATATACATTTATATATTATTACAGCGTTTTTGTTTCTACCTTTCGTTCGAGCATGAGATCAGACCATAATTGATCGTTTGTTCACCTCCCTGAAAATAGGATGCCCCACTCAAACCGCTGGTGTATCATCATGTTCCCTATTCAAATGGCCGTGAAAGGGGGTAAATCCCCCATGCTTAGACGCACCCAAATATCTAATAATTAATACATAATATATATATATATATATATGTATATACATACATACATACATACATACGTACATACATACATGCATGCATACATACATACATACATACATACATACATACCTACGTACGTACATACATACATACAGACAGATAGACAGACATACATACATACATATATATTCATACCCCACCAATCATCCCCAGTATGTCCACACAATATTCCCAGCGATCACCTAGGCACTGCTACAAGGCGTGAAGAAGGAGCTGGCAGAGACTGGTCAGAAAAGGTCGGGAAAAATCTGGGGCAAGATGGAGGTATAAATTAATGACATGTTAATGCAGATATAATAGGGATATTAAAACAGTGTTGATATTATATAATTCAAGTAATGTCAGAGATATAATAAACCAGGGAGTAATGGGTATATTAATGCAGATTTGGAAATATGATGCGAATATCATGATAATATATATGTGTATAATGATGATATGATGATGGGAATATTAGTCATCAATTTGCCAAATGGTGAGCCACATGGTGATGTGAATGGTGAACATGGTGATAAGCCAGTGAATTGAATTGGGTATCATGGGAATGTACTGGGATACTTGATGGGATATAGACATAACAACTAACCAACTTGTTTGAAACAGGGTAATTTAGGCATTGCTGCTTGTAAATATGAGGCCTTTACTTAACTTTGTTTTACCAAGACTGGAATAGTTACAATTGACAGGAATGAAACTGATTTCACTGATTGGATTGGCTGGTTTACCCAGTCAGTGGTCCCTTGACATTACAAATTTGTATCATGGGAATGGCAATTTCATTGGACAATGTTTGACAGTGAAACATAGGTGTTTGATGGTTATACCTCCTATAAAGCTTGATAGTTGATGTTTTTTGTTGGTTATACCTTACATATATATATATACAGTATACATCACCAGGACAAGAACTTTTCCTCTTGGGTTTTCCAACACCCTTTCCCCATAGACTCCTACCACAGAAGTTTCTACTTGGGTCGCAACCGCGGATCACATTCGTCACTGTTAACAGAATTTTAGTTTAAAACGACTAGTAAATTAGATCCACCACGCAGGCCACGCGAAATGGCCCTTCGAATCATAACATTGACCCGCAAAGATATATATATATACATTGCCTTGTTCTGAAACAGCGGACAGAAAAAAAAGTCTAGTAAAGTATATATATATATATTATGTACATACAGTATATATATATACACATACAGTATATATATATACACATACAGTATATATATATATATACATACTGTATATATATATATATTTATTTATATATGTACAGTATGTATGTACTGTGTATATATATATTATATCAGTGATGCCTAGCACTTTTTGACGTTTTCCCAGGGCTGCAGCTATATGGTTTTCGTCTTACTTTCCGTGTCAAGGAAAGAACGCTGGCCCAATGCTCTGGCTTCTCCACAGCGAAGTTTGGGCCGCCGGATCCGCATTTCTGGCTATGAAAAGTGGCTATGAAATGCTATGAAGATGTATGGATCAAATTTTGGATACCCCAGTGTTATGCTATAAAGATGTATGATGTATGGCAATGTATGGATCAAACTTTGGGTAGTGGTTGTGCCTTTTTGGCATCAGATACAAGTATATCAAGGGATATCAAGGGTATGACACCAGACCAACGCTAGTTTCCAAGAGGGGAGGGCTCATTCCAGTCCAATAATAAACCATGGTTTCTAGGGGATAGTTAATAGTCATCAGGGGAATGGACTTAGTTGACAACCATTTTGGCTGGTTGATTCCCATCTGGCTGCTTAAAAGTTCATTCCTGCTGTTGAGGTACCGACGTTACACGCCCTGCATCCCCAAAGAATCACTGAGGAAAGGCTTTCCAGGCCTTCTGCAGAAGGAAGGACCAGATTTACTCGAACGAGTGCCCCTTGGAAGAAGTGGATGAGGTCTTGGCGGACGTATTTTGTTCAGGGTTGATATGTGTGGATCTGACAACAGTAAGCAAGGGTATGGGTCAGACAGATTGGCCCCAAAAATGACTGTGAATAGGAAGAAGGACCAACTTCTTTGGTTTCCTGCGTCTTGAATGTTGACTCGCATCCATGATCTTGCACAAATAGTTGATGACACTGATTCATTGGATCGAACATGATCCGGCATGTTGCCGTTGCATTCTGCAGTTGTTCCCGTTTGCATAGAAATTAAGTTGGCTCTATCCCGTTGTTCTTCATATATGACCTCTTTAGCTTTCAGTTTGGGCTCTCCAGTTTAAAAGTTGGTTCAAAAAAGAATTGATGGATCCTCTAGACTCGAGACAATATTATTTTTTTTTTCTGGGGTGTGATCCTTTTTCGTTAGAGTCAACATCTTTACCAATCCATCTACAACTGATTGGGAGGCAAAAATGGGTCAATTCGTGACTGGCCCCACAGATTTTAGGTGGTTTGTAGTGTTGAACTCCACCCCCTAATCAAGGGCAATGAGCTTGGTATTTGAACCAATTTCCATTATTCATAGCTGAACAAGTTATATATATATATAGAAATTACATATAAATTATGAATATATATATATACATATACATGTTCAGATTATCTTGACTGATAGTTCTGTTTCTATTGTAGTTTCTTTCATGTCAAAAGTTGCATTATATCGGGTGATCGTCATCAATTCATCTTCACATGGATTTATATACCTATTATGTTTGGTTTCCCATGGCATGGGATGGATTTTCAAAACCCATTCATGGCATGTTTAATCATGTTTAATCCCTTTTGTTAATTAGTCTTCTTTATCCCTTTTATAATAACTAGTGTTGATGGTTCAATGCCACTATCATCCCATGCCTTGATAATCCCATGTATATAACTTGGCCATGGCACTCATGGTACAAGTAAGTTGCTTTATAATCCCATTAGCTATAGTTATATCATCCTGATCAACCCACGCGTGAACCAAGTGAACTGTGCGTCAACTTCTGTCAACTTAGCTATCTCAATCCCATCAAATCTCCATTAAATACCATGGAAATCCCCATGAAATCACCAATTTTTGGCCCACCTCCCCATAAAATACCATGAAATCCTATGAATTCCTATTAAATCCCATTAAGCCACCGTGGTAAAAACTGTGGCGCAAACTGGGGATCTCAGAGGCCTCACCTGGTATTTCACTAGCCTCCCCGTTTGGCCCAGACGTGCTCCTGTGGCGAAGTTTGACGCCTCAGCGCAGTGCCATGGCGCTGTTTTTTTTTTTATGGTACAGATAATGTATATATATATATACATATATCTATATGGTCTATATGTAAAAGATAGTACGTAGTTTTTGGTTAAGATTAGGGATAGTACGTATTGTGTTTGTGTTTTGTTTTTTTATTGGTACAGGTCATATATATATATATGTATTATAAGCCATAAGAGTAAACAAACAAATAGACAAATTGATGAGACATCATGATGGTGCCCCATAGACAGCTAAGTTTTTTCATAGCTCCAACAACTAGGGTTATAAACCAACCCAACTTGTAACTGGGGGGATACTGGGGATACTGACTGGGGACAATGGGGTAAGCCCAATCCCATAAACAACTATACCATTATTTAGGGATGCTGGTAAAACAACCCATGAAAGTTGTGATGTTGGGGATAGTGCAAAGGGCGTTGGGCGAATCCCATAATATATTGTTTATAAACCAGCAAGTAAAGAAACAAATACAAGCAATGTGTTATTCTTCGACTGGTGGAACTACCAATCCCCAATATGGCATGTGTTTTTTTTTTTTTAATAATGCTGACAATTTGGTTTTGAAGCATAGGATACCACTGTTTTTTTGTATACCCAATTTTGCGACATGCCCACATTAATATGGAAGTGCCTTCGATGCTATGTATAGACAGCCATTTACTAGCTATTGTTATTTTCCATCATGGTACCCAGGTACATGGGTTTTGATATACCGCTGATAGAACAAAATGGAGGAGATGAGGAGATGAAATGGGCAATTGTTTACAGGAAATTCCTGTGTGTGTGTGCGGCTCTGAACTATATAATTATTGGATCAATATTCCATATCATGTAGGTAGGAACTGTTCACTGAAATATGGTTTTGGTTGGAGCAGGCAGTAGACGTCCAACTGTCCATTTGTACTCTCCCTTTGAAGCGACCAAGTATATAGATTGTTTTTTTCTATTTGCAGATTGTGATTCTATCACCGCATTCCAAGTGATTGGATTCATAGGAAGGTAAACTGCAGAAACATGTGTCCAATAAAGTTACTGTAGCGTTCCTCAACTTCAAAGAAGAGCAAGCAATCCCATTGGATGTTTTAGCAGTTTTTTCCCAAAAAAGTGTGTCCACACTGAGGGGTTCTTAGGGTAGCTGTAAAGGCAGGTGCATCATCAGGGTGCTCACTCTGGGCCCCGGCATTTTTCCTGTAAATGTCCGTATAAAGTATAAAGTGGCTCCTGTGAAATGTCAATAATATTATCATACATTATCATACATTATCCTCCCACCCTCCACACTGTTTGGGGTCTCTTGCCGGGATAATTGCTTAAATATATAAATATATTTTTCGAAATTTAAGGGTAACCTAACACCCTAGCCTTACTAGCCCATGAACCCCAGGGGCTTTACCAGCTCCCACAAATGCTCTCAGGCAAGTGGCAGCCGTCGCAGAGGGCAGCTGGGAAGCCTTGGCCCCGGTTCTGGCGAAGCAAAGCGTGCAGGCGCCCGATGGGATGGGGATGATTTGTGGCAGGTTTACCACATATTCTGATAAGTATAATATGGGATTTTGTACCACCAGATCAGATAATGATGGGGATAATATGGGATTCCAAGAGTCTAAGAGACAGACAATACCCTCTGGTAATTTAACATAGCCATGGAACATGGCCCATTTACAGATGATTTTCCCAATAAAACCTCCATTTATCATGGATTTTCCAGTTCGCTATGTTAGTCATTACCAGAGGGTATCATGAAAATTTTGTGCAACGACTTGGACAGGGGGATGGTTGCCGATGGAGTGGTTTGTTGTTTATTTGATCATTGAGTTCCCGAAAAACTTGGCAGGGTTACTGCAAATAGTTGAAATATGTGAAGTGAAAGGGGAGATCTCAAGGGATTGCGTGGTATGTCAGTGAAAAGCGCAAACGTGCAATTGAGAGGCTGAAAATGGTGCATACTGTACCACCCAGGGGATCCAAACGGCTATTTTGGTAAGGGAAATCATGATTGTATACAACTCGGGAATTAGGGGTCCCCTGGTACCCAATGTTCGGACAAACCCGGCAATCTATTCAATATTTGCAAGTTGATATGATGATTAACTCTTGTGTTCATACAAACCCAGTAAACAATACGATTTGGAAATCATTGCATCCGATGAACAATGATATCCGGCATCTGGATCATCTGGCTCACATCTTTACGTTTGGGGATGGGTTCAAATATGTAAATATGTCTAAATAATTCCAAATATATTTATTTCTCCGGGAATCAAACATGGCAATGGGAAATCCCCATCTATACAGAATTTTCCCCATTCAAACCCCTCATTTTTCTGTTTTGTTTTTTCCAGGTAGCGACTCACATGGTGAAAGTCACCCTTCAGCTACTTGGCAGGAAAGGGATGGAGAAATTCATCAAGAAAAACCGGGATATTAACAACGAAAAAACGGAGTTTAGAGTGTCGAACTAACGTGATAATGACATGCAAGGACCAACAAAAACAGACGAAAGTCGGCTTAAACATGTTTTGTTGTCAAAAGTCGAAATGAGATTATATCATGATATCAACATATATCAACATATATATATACATACATATCAACATTATTTCCGTCCATCAAACCATGTTTAAACCCATGCCCATGGTATCGTGGTGGTGATATCGCCACAAGGTGCTACCCGTTCGCTTGGGTGAACCTATATTTGTCACACTACTTGTATGGTAAACTAGCATAACTATAGACAATTGCCAATTATTGTAGTTTATTTAACATGATTTAACTATATCATATATCTTACTAACCTATTTTACACACACACATATATATATATATATACTTATATAATTCTTATATACACATTATATACCTAATAATTAGAAATGACCATTGTCCATGGCTATGTGAAACTACCAGAGGGTAAACCAACAAACATATATCTTGGTAGCCCGAAATTACTGCTTAGCCCAGGCAAGCAGCGGTGGAACTGGCGCAAGACAACTTCGATGGGGCCACTACGGCATTCGCGCAGATGCAAATATGGTGGCTTTGGCGGCACGACATGGGACGAAGTCTGAGTCATTTGCAAACGTGGCAGACAAAAACAAATAGATGTGGTGATGATGATTACTGTTAGTTGGGGTACTACTATTTGTTTGATGGCCTTAAATCAGGGGATCTAGATGAATGTGGCCAGTGTTCATGTCATTCATTTCATGAACTCATTAGACTATCTACTGTATCGTGGGGCTCGTGTTTCTCGGTAAACATTGTTGTTTGCCTCTGTTCCTGAACGACCGAGTCAGCCCCTGATGGTTTGCTTGTAATAAGCACGGAAGCCTCAGAGCATCTCAGAACCAACCATTGCATCCCCGAATGACGATCTCCGTTTTACGAATAGCAGAAACTAACTAGTAACTAACCTTGATATTTCCCCGACTGCGCCAGTTGACCTTTTTTGATAGTCTCATCCAAATAGTGGCTGCGACCAGCAATCTTCGGAGGTGGCCTCATTCTGAAGGAAGCGAAGAGAAAGAAGCTTTGAACGACACTTGGACCATGCCATAGGGAGCTGCTGAGCTGGGGGGATCGCACTAAGCACCAAAGCAGTCTGAAGAAAGTGATCTACCACAATGGTGCAAAGCAGCGGCTGCACGGAAGGATAGTTGAAGGTTCCCAAGACGCATCCCAGTTTCAATGAGTGGAAGACATGATTGATTGTTTCCCATCAGTATGGAACATCTCTCATTCAACAGCACTTCCAAGCACTTGACGTCAGCTCAGCTTGAGACATCTGGAGAAATCTCATGGTTGATCCCTGAGACAAAGCCAGTCTTGTTTATTTGTCAACCACTATAGCAGACGCCATTGTTGTTGATCAATAATCCCATACGACCCCTGTTAGGATTGGATCTATATATTCGTTTTTAGGATTCCGGATACGCCAAAGATATTTAGTATCAACGGGATTGGAGTATGCTGAAAAGCCTGGTGTCCAAAACCAAAAAGTTGGCAGTTCTCACAGGAAAGGGCGCCCCAGTCATAAGTTGTTTTCTAAATCTAATGGATATATATCTACCATAATAACCCCATGCATTGAAGCAAAGTGACTGGGGCACAAAAAACAATTATCAGTTGTTAGAGTAAATATTGTTCATGATTACACCATGCTTCAGTGGTTAAACCGACATGTCTTAAGCCTTACCATGTTTGATGGTAAAACAACGATATTTGATGTTCATTTTTTCATGTTTAAACAATTTTTTTATGGTTCAATCACCACGTTTGATGGTTATATCACCCTTGTTGACGGTTACACCACCATGTTTGATGGTTAAATTGCCAGTTACCAGCATTTTCGATGGTTTAAGCCATGGCTTAATGAATTGGTTTAAGGGAAAATCTTAACCGGAAACCATGGATTTTCCTAAATGGAATCTGAATGAATCTGAGGGTTTCCTGTAAAATGTCCTTAAACATCCTTAAACCAACAATGTGGTGCCCCCCCAAGTTGTAAGTTGATTTATAAGCTCACTATATATATATATATAGATATATCAATATATAATATATAATATAATATATATATATATATATCAATATATAATATATGATATCATATGTATACATATATATATACATAAATAATACAATATATATATAGTATTTAATATATATATATATACATATTATATATATGTACAATATACAATATATCATATATCATATATAATATAATATATATATATATATAGTATATATATATATAAAAAAATATTTAATATATCATATTTAATATGTAAAATATTATATATTATATATAATATATAATATATAATATATAATATGTAATATGTAATATATAATATATTATATTTAGTATATAATTTATATATATATATCTAAAAATATAATATATAATATATTGTATATAATTTATTATATATCATATATAATTTATATTTTATAATATTTAATATATAATATATAATATTTAATGTATAATATAATATTTATAATATATATAATATATATAATATAAAATATATCATATTTAATATTTCATTTATAATTTATTATATTTAATATATAATATTTAATATATACTATATAATATTTAAAATATAATATATATAAATAGTGTTATATATATAGTATTTCAAATATAATATATATATATATATATATTGTATACTTATACAATATTTAATATATCATATATCACATATCATATATAATGTAATCTATATATACATTATATAAAATATAATATATACTATATCATATTTAATATCTGCAATTTAATATCTAATATATAATATTTAATATTTAATATATAATATATAATATAAAATATTTAATATATAATATATAATTTAATATCTAATATATAATATATAATATTTAATATATAATATTTAATATTTAATATATAATATATAATATATAATTTAATTTAATATTTGTAATATAATATATATATATATACATATGTAAAATGTAATACAATATATGTATAATATCAAATATATAACATATTATATATTATATCTTATATATCATACAAAATAAATAATATATAATATATAATTTATAATATTTAAAATTTAATATATAATATATAATATTTCATATAATATATATATATATATATTATATAATATATATATATATATTTTAATATATAATATATAAATTAATATAATATTTATATAATATAATATTTATATATATATGTAAAATATAATATATAATATATATATAATATACTATTTGATATTATATATTTAATATAATATATATATATATATGATATTTAATATTTAATATTTAATATATAATATATAATATTTAATATTTAATATATAATATATAATATAAAATATTTGATATATAATATATAATTTAAAATATATAATATAAAATATATAATATATAATATATAATATATAATATATAAATATTTAATATATAATATATATTATTATATTTAATATATATAATATATAATATATAATATATAATATATAATATATGATAATATATATATATTAATATAACATATATATATAATATTTATATATATATATACCATAAGTCCTAGTTATATGTCAGAGTTATAGATATCAACTGAACTATGGGGCACCATCTTTTAGCCAACAGGAAACTCAGTTCTCAGGAAAGCCTTGGAAAAGTCTTGGACCTCGCCGACGAGCGCAGCTTCGCCTGCGAGGCCGAAAGCATCAGCGACTTCGCGGCGAAACTGGACGTGGCTCGGCGACCATAGATGGGATAATCCATTTAAAATCTGGAAGAGAACTTATTGATATGTTTCAATCCCTGATAACCAAAAAGTCTTGGCAGTCCCATCCCCTTTCTGTACATGGATCAATGGCTAGTTGATCTTACTCCCCTTTTTGGTTCAATGTGTTTCATGGTTTTCTCCCTAGAGACCCTGGTTTAGGAATCTATTCGTTAACAAAGAAATTTCTGAACATCCTTAGATTCTTATATTGCTCAAAATCCAAGCATTTTGTCACATGTGTCCTGGTCAAAATCCTTTTCATCTTCATGTTTATTGGTACGATACAGTACATCTTGTTTCATTGGTCAGGGCACAAGTTTGGGTGCTCAAATTTTGTTTATAGAAACACATATAAACAGATGTTTGATCCTAGTTAAGCCATGTTAAGCCCTATTTGTTTTTGTTAAAGTCACCATCTCCCCTTTTCCTACGTTCCCCAAGGCCCTGTGCAGCGCCCTGGCACCCTCGCGCGCCGCATTGGCGCCGCGCTTGGCAGAGCGAAGGGCGCTGGGGCCACTAAAGCAGTTGCAGGAGGAGATGGAGAAGGAGATGGGATGATGTTTAACCATGATGGGGAAATTTCTGGTCCGCATTATACCCTCTGGTTATGACTAACTTAGCCATGGGAAGCCATGGCCCATCGAAATAGATGGTTTACCGAACTGAAAAATGGTGATTTTCCATGGCTAGGTTAAATAACCAGATGGTATATTCAGTTGCAATCAATCATGTTTGGTTATTTTTTCATGGATGTTAGATGATTTTAGCGATTGATTTATAGTACCATGATGTTACCATGATTTAACATGATTGACGAGTTCAGTGGCGTTCAAACATTATTTAACCATGATATAGTTTGAACATGAGTATGATATGGGTTTGTTTAGCAAATGTTGTTGGAACATGGGAGATTGAGTATTATCCTGTTTTTTGTGGGTTTAAACATCAAGAATGGGGACAGCATTCAGAAATTATCTCCAAGATATCTACAGTTTCTGGTGGGTTTAATATGAGTTGCAGCGAGGGAGATCAGCCGGGTGGGAAAAGCTGGACGGATGGGCCAAGCGAAAGAAACTTCTCAGAATACAGCCAAAACCTTGGATATGTTCAGGATGATACCAACAAAAATTAAAGAACATTCTACAAACATGTGATATCAAACAACAAGATGTGTGAAATAAAACATATTTTTCTGGTGGTTGATTCTTAAGCTGGAAATGAGGGAACAATATGGACAATGCCAACGCAATACTTCGCCAAACTATATACGATGTTTTTTTTGCTTTAGGTCGGGTAGTTCCAACTCACTCTAGAAATGTGTTTTTCCCCACCTGCCAGGTGAGGGTTGTTAGATTTTATTAGAGCTGTTGTCCTCCTCCTCCTCCTCCTTCTCCTCATCCTCCGCCTCCTCCTCCAGTTTCTCCTCGACCATGTCTGCATCAACTTCCACCTCCACTTCCACCTTGCCAACTCTTCGCCAAGCTCTTCACCAACTTCCGATCTCAGTGCGCACTGCTGGACCTCAACCTGGGACCTTTCCAGTTCAGTGCGCACTGCTGGACCTCAACCTGGGAGCTTCCCAGCTCAGAGCGCACCTTCCCAGCTCAGTGCGCACCGCTGGACCTCAACCTGGGACCTTCCCAGCTCAGTGCGCACCGCTGGACCTCAACCTGGGACCTTCCCAGCTCAGTGCGCACCGCTGGACCTCAACGGCCAGATAGAATGCCAGAAGATATGCCAGATAGAATGGCAGATAGAATGCCAGAAAATATGCCAGATAAAATGCCATAAGATATGCCAGATAGAGTGCCAGAAGATATGCCAGATAGAATGTTAGAAGATATGCCAGATAGAATGCCAGAAGGTATGCCAGATAGAATGCCGGATAAAATGTCAGATAGAATGCCAGAAGATATGCCAGATAAAGTGCCAGAATGTTTGCCAGATAGAATGCCAGAAGATTTGCCAGATAATATGCCAGATAGAATGCCAGATGGAATGCCAGAAGATATGCCAGAACATATGCCAGAAGATATGCCAGTAGCAAAATGTATAAATGTCATGGTGGGGATCACTCGAAGTAAAGTATTTTTTTTATGGCCGGGTATACCATTTTGATTTTGCCGGAAATTACCATGAACGAATCAAAGTGAATCAGTCAAAGAATGCCTCAGCTGAAAGTTGTGTGGTGATAGCCAAAAATTGGATGTTTTATCATCATTTCCCCAGCACATTTGACATATTTTACGATGAGCTCTCCCTCATGTTCATGTCGTCTATAGCCATCTGGAGATATCACGACCAAACCATGGTGGGGTATGGTTGGATATGGTTGGGATTTGGATCTAATTTAGTTGTTCGAAATTTAGGTCTTGCGCAGAAAATTCAAAGAGATTCAAAAGTTACACAGCTCCTTTTGAAAGTCGTTCCAGTCATCGAGATGCCCTGCAGCATGCACGAGGCTATCCATGTCGTGGAAGGTAACTCTGTGCCAACGCAATGTGCCATCATCTCTTTGAATGTTCACATTGTCAATTTTGAAAGATGCAGTTTGGCGCTGCTTGGTGTTTTCAAGTATATATGAATTATATATTATGTTATAGTATTGGTTATAAAATATGTATATAAAATTATATATATATATAGATATATTTTATTTTCCTTCAGTCTCTGAAAGGACTAAGCGATTTGACTGGCAAAAATGTTTGTTGAGTTTCAACTTTAGCAGTTTGGCCATGGTGAATGTTCTCCACTCACAAATTGGATGGCAGCCCTCAGGAAGTCCAAAATTTGTTGATGAAGTCCCTATCCAGCTGCTGTATTTTGAGGGAAAATCCCAACATGTGGTGGTATCAATCAAACATAATCAAACTATTTTACATAACATTTCAAATTACTGTGGAAACAACGACATATCTTGTTGCATTTCGCTCATTCCGTACGATTTCACCACCAATAATTCTTGGTAAATGATGATAACTTCACTGCGACCTCACTGGAATGATGGGAATTTCCAGGGAACCATCGCCATAGCTGGCCAATGGTCCCCGAGATCATTGGGTGATTTTTGGCTTTGTGGAAGCCGACACCTGGTAACCTACGATCGTCAGGAGGATGCCAGCCTCGCAAACCTGCTGAGCTCACTGAAAGACATGGCCGCAGCGGCTGAGACGTCGCCCAGCAAAAAATTGAGAGGGTTCCGAAATGGGAATACCATGAATAACTGAGTCGTCACAAAAAGGGTTTCAATACTAAAATGGGATTATGTTTGGATGATTGGGGTACCCCAATTTTAGGACTCCAAATGAAGTTGATAACTGATGTTCAATTAATATTCACATGGAGTCCGCCCAAGGATGAAACACATCCAATGCATATCCAAGGTTACCTATCTGTACCTCGTTTATCGGCCTTATTGAAACCAGTACTAGGAATACCTATTAACCAACCACCATAATGGGAAGGGATAGCAGTGGATTTTGTTGTGAAATTCCAGTTGGGTGAATCTAAAAGTGTGTGCTTATTCTTTATATATATATATATATTTAAAAAAAAAAACATATCTGGGACCATATCATGGGGGCGTTCAAAATTTTACAGAGGGACGACATGTTCTATTCTAATCCCATTATATATCTATCCCAGTCGTAAAAATCCATAAAAATCCGATTGAATATCTATTAAATCACAATTCACAATCTCAGGGATACTAAAATTAGTTAAGTCACTATTAAATGATCCCATAAAATAAGCATCAAATCACCATACGGAAGGGATTCGTCATCCCCCAAGGCTTGCTACCGTAGAAGGCCTGGAGGCCGCGTTTAAAGCCGACGCTCTGGGGGCAGTTTTCGGGTGAGGCCTTGAAGTTGGGTGATGCATTTTTTTTGTTGTCTAATATATATATACAGTATATATACACAGTATATATATACAGTATATATATATATATTTACATTCTATATCATTGTATCATATTTATATCTAGTTTTATATATCTCATGTATATGTATATAATCTATATCATATCTATATAATACACGGTTCGTGTATAATATACGCGATGATACTGGTCATTCCACTGATCGCATCCTTGAGCAGACATGAAAGTTTCGTTCGCGACCTGAAACACATCGATATTTGCTCGGACTCAGAGACCCCAAATGGAGCAACACTTTATTACGTTCAGTTATTTCTATATATGTCTATACATATAATACATATTGCTGATGAGTATCTTTGTGTGGTGTTTTCTTTTTGGACATGTTAACCCAGTGGATCCCTTTTCTACCTCCTTTTCACTGGTGATGGTGGCTCAACCACCAACCAGATGAGCAATGTCCAGTTGAACCAGGGTAATTGACAGTTGCGTGGGTTACACATAGATCGAAAGAAAGATAGATACTGTAATAGGTAGGTAGATATAGGTAGATAGGTATAGGTACAGATAGATACAGATATGCGCAGCTAGCTTCAGATAGATGGTATCATAGCATTTCTTTCCATACTGAATGCACGTAAGATGCGGCACGGCGCGCCAGGCCGCCATGTCGGCTTTGGACAACTTTCTGCAGCAGAAGAGTCAGAGCGTCGAGGCAGACCTGGCGAAGGCAAGGCACCGGTTAACGGTTGTTAGTGGATCCAAAGGGAACAGAGGAAAACTGGAAAACTGGAGAACTGGTTGGTGGTTTCCTATATTAATACTTAATACCCATAATTGTTGGTTTACATCCCATTATATCATAATAACATGCTTACTGAATCCCCATTTGGTTAGTGGTTTCAAACATTTGGATTATTGTCCTTTTCATACATGGGATAATCCGGAACCCATTGACTTTCATATTTTTCAAGATGGTTAAAACCACCAACCAGGAAGATGACTGGACTGGAAAGGAGTCGACAGTAACGACAAAAACGACATGTTCCGAAACAGGTGTGCGTATACATATTTCGCGACCCTGGTGCAGGTCCTTGAGATTGCTGGGTGCTATGATGAGACACGTCACTTCTTCAGAATTTCTGTGTGATGAACTCCCGATGATTTGTTGATCCAGGAAAGAGAGCAAAAAACATACCCAACAGAAATTTGATTTTACCACCGAAAATAGAACACACATCAGATTTTAGTAATTTTAGTAACTGGGCTGAAAATCAGGAAACCTTTTGGATTCGTCCAGCTTTGCACGTTGAGAAGTTTGCCAGCGCCAGCTCTGCTTCTAAAAAAAACAATGGCTTTGTTGGAGGATTCTTGCTGGATCCCAATATAGTTTGGATCAGCCCAGACCGATTCTGAGTACACTTTTCAGACTCTTCTCAAACCATCAGCTACAGATGAGTTCACATGTATTCATATGTTTTCATCATAAAAAATATGAGATTTGCCATTGGCAGATTCTTCGTTTTTTTATGTTCTGATGTTTTGTTGGCAAATCTGACCACTCAGTGGTCATCCCCACACTGGTGGCTGATATGGAGGTTTCCTGAGTCATTACTGGGTGCCCCCAGTTCTCATCCATTTCTAGATGCTATGCTCCTTAAGACATAAACCATCCAGCTAAATAGGGGTACCCCCATGACTATGGAAACCCCCACGGCTTTTACAGATCCACATCCCCAAGATTCAACAAATCCAAGCGGCATTTAGGTCCAAAGCTCTCGTTGCCAGACACCTCTCCGTTGCTCCCTCGGATTCAGGCGGAGCGTTGTGTTGACTGTTCTGAAGGCTGTCCCAAAAGTGTGGAAGCCCTAAGACCCATTCAGAAATGTTGTTTTATCATAATTTCCCGAATCAATCCCATTCACATCATGGTTGGTTGCCAAACTATACTTATACAATATATATATATATATACACCTATCATACTAGTAGTATACAGCTTGGCCTCCAAGTAGATGCCAACATGTCCAGCATGTCGAAGATGTCTTCCCCCATCCCTCCAGCTCCAGGTGTTGCTGACCAGCTCCAGCCTTCAACGCGCGCGGGAGGAGCTGTGCAAAGACCATGGCCTCAATCCGGTCGCTCGAAAGTTGATTTGATCTATATATATATATAAATACTGGTTGGTGGTTTGGAACATGTTTTATTTTTTCCATAATATATGGGATAATCCTTCCCAACTGACTTTCAGATTCTTCAGAGGGTAGGTCTACCACCAACCAGTGTATATGTATAATTATATATATATAGCCTAACCCATTTGATATGTGGGCGTGAAAATGGGAGATTCACTGCCTGGTTCTGGCAATTCCAAGAGGAATGGTGGTTCGCCTCAGGTCTCTGGAGTTGACCAAAACTTCTTTGTGCCAAATGGGGGAGACGGTTGAAGTCGCCATGTCCCATGAAAATTTCCCATTTTTTTAGGACGTTGATCAAGTGGCATTAGAACTTAACAAGCAACAAGTTTGCCAAATTTACTTTCATGATATACACTTTCTAAAGAGTCCGGATGACATGAAATCTTTGTTTGGTCCAACGTGGGGGGTGGAATTGCAGTCACCCTGTTTGTGCTGATATCCCTCTCTACCCGCAGGTACCAGGTTTTGACTCCTTTTTTGGTGGTGTCAAATATGTCATTCTTGCCATAGGTGGATTCTCCAACCAGATTGCATGATCTTTGCTTGTTGTGTAGACCATGGATTCCCCAATTTCCGGTGACTTAAATCACTGTTTATGTTCAATTCCATCATGAATCATGAACCACAATTGACTTTCACATTTTTTTTTCAGGTGGGTCTGCTTCCACTGATTAATTTGATGGTTAAATCCCCGCTCTTGGTTACCATCCCAACATAAACCATCGCAGGTCCCCACAATGTGGTGCCCCCAGTTATCATATGGTTTATGAGCCCATTAACTATATATATATATATATATCTATCTACCATAAGTCCTAGTTATTAGATTGATGTTTACCAACTTATCTATCTTTCGGGCAGCCCCTTCCAAGTCAAACCCCCGGTTGAACCAATCTTTCCCTCCGGCAATCAAACGTGGCTTGCTGGAAAATCCCAATCATTTATTGTTGATTTTCCCAGCTCTAAACCTCCATTTACCCTCTGGTGAACTAACATTGCTATGGCAAATCACCATGCTATTAATGGGTAAATCCACTATTTCTATGGTCATTTTCAATAGCTATGTTAGTCATTACCAGAGGGTTCTGATGGGATTTTCCAGCTAGCCAGGTTTGAATTTCACAAAGGGTCGCCATCCAACGAAGGCGTTGGTTTTGCAGTTGGTGAAGCGTGCAGGGGAGGCAGAGCCTGCAGAGCTGGATGATGAGATGACGGCCTTGTTGTGCCGCGGTGAGATGTGGTACGGTTCTGTAGAGATCTTTTTTTCCCATGAAAATCAGAGTTAATAATGGCTTGATCATGGGTGAATCATGGTTAATCAATGTTAAGAATAGTGAATAATGGTTAATCAATGTTAAATGATGGGTGTTGAATGGTGAATAATGGTTAATAACGGTTATTTGGATATTTGATGGGATATGGTAATAAATTGCAATCATATGCAATGGAATAGCCCCAGTGTCATCGAACTAAACGGGGGTCCGAGTCCATTGACATGTTTGATTAAGGGTACAACTTCTTGGAGTATACGGTATACCACATTGTCAGACAAAGCCACAGGTTTTTGAGTCTGAAAATCTCTCTTGGGGTCTGGAAATTTGCAAACGATGGATATCCGGTGGATTGACCGGCTTGGCCACATCCCCTGTCCTCCATGGGGATATCGCCAGTCTTGCCGCCAGTGGCCAGTGGCCTTCCCATGTTAATGTTCATTGTGGTTGGTTATTTCTGATGTGAATCTGTCAAGGTATTTTTCATCATGTGTTCTTTCTTAATATTCCATTTTTGTTGGGTCATTAAGTCATTCTCCAATGTGTCTTAGTCATTCTCCTTTAGGGATCAACAACCACATTTTTAGGGGTCAAAAAGAAGATAGGGATCAATAAAAACAATAATAAGAGCAGGAAGGAAGGAAGGAAGGAACCCCCCTCCCGCTTTTTTATTTACAAGTACAAGTAAATCCAAGCTCGCACACTTGTAAATACATTACTCTACATGTATAACGTGTTTATGATCATATAATATAGGCATATTGTATCTAATATTATATACCTGTATAGTATATGCAGTATGCTCGCATCGTATCTCTAAATAACACCTCATCATACCTCATCCAACCTCAAAGAAAGCTTAAACAAATTGGTAAAAACGATGAAGACCATCAAACAATCCATGAACATCGATAAATTGATGAAAACCAGAGAAACATGTGAAACACCATGGGACAAAATACACATTGTATGAAGAACTAATAAAGAACAACAATGGACACATCGATGGACACATCGATGAACACCATGGAAAAATGGTTCAAAACCATCGAAAAGAAAAATATCAAAATCATGGAACATTCAATGACAACCATTGGGAAAAAATAAGCAAACGTGGAAAAATATGAAAACCATCCAGACATCGATAAACATCATTAAAAAGAAAACAATGAAAACCATGGACAAATCGGTGAAAACCAACAAAAAATCTATGAGCACCTTGGAAAAACCAATGAACGAGTGCAAATGCAAAATTTCAGTTCCAAAATGCAGCCACTGACATATTTTAGCTCCCAAACGCGCCAAATAGCAAGGAAAAGTGCTCCAGGTTCTTCTCATGTTTTTCGTCCCCTGACCAAAGAGTTGCTTCCAAATGATGCCGCTCCAGGCGTTTCTGCAACACTTGCAAAGACTATACATTCAGTTCATGTTAGTATATGTTTTTTTGTTGATCCCTATTTATGTTTTTTTGTTTATCCAACCTTTGCCCACTCCACATGTAGTTTCCCTTAATGTTTTTGTTGATCCATATTTATATTTGTTTTGATCCCTTAGATTAATACTTGTTTGATCGCTAAAAATGCTATGTTTGTTCCTTTTCCCTGTCCATTGGTACCAGCAATGTTTCGCTGCCCAGGCAAGAGGTTGCGGACAAGACCTGCGAACGAAGCTTGGTGGCTGTAAGTGATCCTTACGAGCAAAGGTCTTCACGGCTTGGTGGGATAAATGATGGTTACCAATGGTTACCATATCCGTTTATTATAGCTATATGATATGGAGCTATCTTCACTATATCTCAAAAAGGCTGTCTATAGCTATATAGATTATGTAACTATGTAGTACTTTTGAGTGGGACGAATGATGATAAATGTTATCACCGTGTTATCACCTACTAAAAGATGAAATCATACCCATCTAGTCCCAGAAAAGCTATATAGACAACTTAAAGAATGACATGAAATGACTAGTTTTTCAGGTTGGCATCCGGCGCCAAGCCAAGGAATGTGTGAATCCTTCCGTTCTGCGGTGGCTGAAGGACTGGCTTCAAACGGAACGATGATCCCCATGTCAACTATTGTTCTGTAGGTTCCGTCTACCCGGTCTAGCCCTTGACTCTCAAACAGCCACAAACAGCAGTATTCTTCTGTAGGGAGTTGAAACCACCAATTATTGTTGACCTGGGATTGGCAATGGCAACATACGCCCATCACAAGGAGAACATAGGAGAACTCTTGCTCTGGATCGAGGAACCAAACTGTTGCATACTTTTGTTGTATGTGTCTTTCTTCAGATGCAAAGCTGTAACATTGTGATCGTGCAGCCAAGATTGGTTATAAGTGGATATCCATATACTTATATAGATTTATATAGGACTTATATCTCAGCTTATGGAAGTTATCACCGTACTTATACCCATGAAGAAGCAGAAGCCCAGTCCTGCACCCCCATCACCCAGCAGGGCAAGAGGCCAAAGTGCAAGGGCTGTTCCTTTGCTTCACGGGTGGGTCCTATTCCGTATTCTGTTCGAACTTAATCCGGTTTTCTCAACATTGGTACTTTACGACCTATTGGTTGACATATTCAATATTCCAACAAACCAATAACCAGTTACTAGACCGTGTTGGTGATTTCATATACTCGATATTCCAACCGGATGATGAATGGTTTTTTCAACCGTCAAGCAGCAGGGTTTGGAGGGAAAATGACAATTTTTTCAAAGGGAAAATTGACATTTGTTTGTCCTTTGGAATTGGGGTATACCCGGGGCACCCATCATTTTCAGAGAAACCCACAGAGTCACAGTTGCTTATTCTCTTCGACTTTGCCACGTCTTCTTCCAATGTCACAGAACCCCTCGCATCATAGGTCAAATTCCATTGAAATGTCATTCTTAATGGCATGTGTTTTCTCTGAATTCCTTTCTTCTTGCCCACCACCCCAAGGTCAAAAGTCATCAATGAACCCCGTATTTTTGGCTGGTACTATCACCATCCATCTCCTATTTTTGCTTCGCCCGTTTGCCCAGGCTGAAGTTTGCGGACTCCTTCGATGCAGCCTGCGCGGCCGCAAAGGGAACCTCCCATATCCAGGAAAAACTGAAGGACTGGGTATAGCAAATTTCACCCAATTCGCTGAAGACGATTCTGTATTTTCGCAATGTGAAAATCACTAGTTTCTGAATCTATAGGGAACATCAAGGTGATTTTTCTGGAGGTTCCTTACGCAAATCCAAGAAACCAATGAACAGCGTAATCCAGTAATTCCAAATAGCAGAAATGAGGAGACTAAAGAAATGGGATGATTGATGATTTTTTCGGGGGAATGGTCCAAAATGATTCGACAATGGGAGTGAAATGATGGTGAATCTAAGGGGATCTCTATGAGAATCCCTTCAAGTTGGTGAGGCTTCCCCCAGTTAAGTCAGTTAAGTCAGTTAAGTTGGTGTGTAAACCCATAAACTAACAGTTACATTCCCCATAAATCCAACGCTTAACCAAGTTATAAGTGTTTGGGATGATTGCGGATGGAAAGCCCTGGGAACAATGATCCTACGTCCTGGGCAGTACTTTTTGGTGATGAAGGGGTACCCCAAATCATCCAAAATTAGACCATGTTAGTATTGAAAAATACTGAAACCCATGGTGATTGGGAGGTACTGGTACCTGCTTTTCAGGACACCTCCATATATATATATATATATACTTTGTATAAAGGTTGTGGCTTAAGCGCCCCACGCACGACCTAAGCGGGACTTAGCCATTTGATCCCGCGGGCAGCTGGCATTGGTGTGCAGCCGCTGTTGCTGCTTGTGCTCTGGCGGTTCAGTGCAAGCCGCCACCACCTTTGCTCATACAGCTGACCTTCGTGTGGCTACTTCCTTTGGCTTTGACCTGCAGTTTGACATCGTCCTGCAGATTGTCATCCCACTGAAGCTGCCCGTGCTACTGCTGAACTGGATTCGCCCTGGCAGATAGCCCTTTTTTCAATATTTACAATTCAATTTTGGCTTGCTTCGCATGGTTTGGTGTCTTTGGTGGTTTGCACTGATTTTGACATTTGAGAGCCATTACGAACGCAGTCAGACGCAATCAGAGAAGACAACGTTCGAGGGCAAGGCTGGCGTGGTACCTTCACAGACGTGGGGTGTGCTGTTTGAGTCCAACGCGGCTATTGACCCTTTATCACCGTCTACGAGGACATCATTCTCAAGATCATCATTTCCTTCGACGTATCCGAGCAGAAATGGCGCGGCTTCAAGAGGAGCAGCAGAGCTGGTACTGTGGAACGTGCAGGAAAATGAGATCACCCAACGCTCAGTTCTGCGACCTATGTGGCCAACGTTGGCAAGACTGTATCTCCTACCCAGCCAAGTCCAAGTCCCGGAAGAGCTACGTGGACTATTACGATGGCTACGAGGAGGACTACAGCACGACCCCATGGACTGGAAGTACATGGACGGAGCCCAGACACCAGAGCCCGAGGCGAGGCCAGAGAGAGCCATCGGGCAGGAGGACAAGGCAGAAGCCGCAGAAGAAAGGCAAAGGAAAGGGCCAGGCCAAGGGCGCAGAGAAAGGGGCCTCTGCACAGCAGGTTGCAGCGCCCCCACCTCCGCCTCCTTTGACGGGACCCTTTGCAGCCCCAGCTCCATGGACGACTATGCCAACGCCTCCTGTGGAAGTGCCTCAGGAGCATCCAGCAGAACAGAAGCTCAACGAAGTCATGAACCTCCTCAAGAAGAAAAAAGGAGATCAAGACATCCAAGAGATTGTCAGCAAATACGACTCCTATGGCAAGAAGTCTTCCAAGAAGCAGATGCACAATGCTGTGAACGACCTCGACGAGGCCAAGAATGCTATGGCCAATGCGATCCAGGCCAGAGCCAACCTGATGCACAATTGGCGGACTTTCCTCACAGCGTCTCTGGACCGCTGGAAGGAGTACACCAACCAGTTTCAGCAACAGGAACAGAAATGCCTGGAGGAAATCTCTCAAGCAAAGGAGGCTCTCAGCAAGGCGAAGACAGAATTTCTGGCACGCATGCCGGAGGAAGCAGAGGAGATCTCAGACGAGGATGTAGACCTCAAGGAACAGACAGAAGCTGCCTCCAAAATTCTGGGCGGAATGGAGAACATGCGCAACAACCTCCAAGCGCTTGCAGAACAGGCGGAAAAAGACAAAGCGGAAGCGGAGGAGAGATCTCACAAGCGGCCTCGCAAATCCAGCCCTGGAAACGGCGGAGATGCTCCCATGGGCGTTGCGGCCTCAGAGGCCTCCGAGGCCTCCAAGCTGCCTCCCTCGCAGTCTTTTCAACAGCCCGGTCAGTGATGGCCTTCGGGTGCATTGGCCACAGGGCATGTGAACCGGTGGAAGCCACCATCATGCAGTGGAATCACTCTGCTGTGCGAGAAGGCTGGTTTATTCCACCTTGGGAAGCTTCTGAACGTGCACTTGCTCTACATCTTGAAGTTCAACCAGATCTGCTCCACATCCCTCCAGTTCCCATTTGGCAGGGCTTGGGTTTGCCGATGCCGAAGAGGCGAAGTGGACAGAACCGACAGGTGCATTTTGCACCGACGGCTTCAGGGTGGTTTGAGGACCCCTGCACCAACATATGGAATCGACATGATCTATTGCACAGAGATGAACTTGATCCTGGTGATCGTATCGGTGCTCAATTGTCAGACTCGAAGAAGCCTGCAGTTTTGGAGCCCACCTCAAGATCCCAGGCTACCAGAGCGTACGTAGAGATTGACATAGAGATTGATCAACCAACATGGTCAGTGGACGATGCAGTCCCTACCAAACAATCCAGAATCAATGACGCCTGGCATCATGTACCATCCAGAATGAACTTTGCTGGAGACAATGCAGATGAACCAGGACCAGGTGATGGACAATTTTTCCTCCACGAAGCCCCTGAGTATATCCAGACAATGTTCGATGTATTTCTACATGAGGGCTTACTGGAAGGACCACGGCTATCAGAATCGATTCATTTTCGTTCCTGGTATCTCCATCACCGACATCAGCGACAGTGGACCAGGCCTAGGGTGCTTGAACTCAACGGACACTGGCGATTTTGGGCCAATGACATGATCAGCGGATGGAGAGATCAGGTCATTGAGGAGGACGACATCGGCATCTACATCTGCCACCCTAATCCACCACGTTCAGGGATGGAACATGAGATCTTTGCGGACCTCATCATTGCACAAGGCCTTGACTTGCCCAGCTGGGCAGGATTGGTGACATTGATTCGAGCAGGCGATCGTGCTGCACGAGAGGATTTCACTGTTGCGTCCTCACTGCCACAATTTGTGAGTGGTTACGCACTTGCGACAGCAGTCCAACATGTACAACAGTGTCACCTTCATGGATGCAGGATTCGCCATGCTAGAAATCTCATTCCATTCAACCATGAACCAGTACATGAGATGATCAATGGACACACCTTCACTGTCACGCCACAGAGCAGCCAAGCGATGCCAGCGGCACATCCAGTTCCTACAGGCAATATTGAAGGAGAAGCAGTTCCACCATCATTGGAACATGATGAAGAAGATCCACAAGACATGCATGATGACCATGATGATCCGGCCTCATCAGCTATGTCGTCAGATTCTCCTCAAGGACAAACGCAAGCAGCGCACATTTATCGTCTGGGACATCCTCCAAGCTTTGGGCATCTGGACTGGAGATCCTATCTGACGGCACTTCGTGACGCTGCACAGCTCATCCGTGTACCACTCAATCAAATTGTTGCTTTTCATTATACACAAGTTGGACTTCAGGGACACCATGAAGGTGAAGAAGCCATCATTGTACAACATATCACGGACATTGCACAAGGGTCTCCGGAGAAACTCATCGTGATTGACATTGAACATCACAGCAATCGGATTGAAAATGGCCTGCCAACTATGCCCACTGTGACAAGACAGGTGTACAAAGTTGGTCCCCACCATGTCAGACAACATTTACTGACCATTGCTCAAGTGGCTTCCTATTGCACTTGGATGCAAGACCAATGCATTGTGTACCACAATGAGCGTCTGTGGCCACGGGAAGATTACCGACTTCGCCCCATGGCACATGGTGCGTACATCAGGATCCAACTCCCACCGCCACTGCGCAGTGAGTGGGACATTGGCCTTGCTGTCCGTGTTGCACAGGAAACTGGAGACCTTTTTGACTTCCCAGAAGCTGGACAACTGGCGGCATCCATCCTTGACGGCCACACAGATGAGGCTCGTCAACAAGCCTACAATTCTGCGTTTGTGCAAGGGCACCAATGCAAAATGGGTGAAGATGGTGACGACATCGACATCCCCATGATGATACCGCATGGAACCAGAATGCCCAGCCATCGACCGCGTCATGATGGAGACTTCACCTGGCTTCCGCAGCTTGTGGAAATCTTTAGAGGTGCGGCAGAGGCGGAAGTGATTGATGGCGATCCTCTTCTGTACGTGCAGACATGGTATGTTCACCACATGCGGATGAAACGATGCCACCATCCTCGCCCAGTACGTCTTGATGGCGCCATCATTGCTTGGGTTGATGAACTTAGGTTTGCCTGGAGGGACCTCATGGACAGACATGCACCTTTCAGCATCCACATCATCAGACCTCGCCCACCGCAACCTCGAACGCAGTCGTATGCTTGCCACATTGTGCTGGAACAATCTCCATCACCTCATCGTCGTGCAGGAGTGGTCACGGCCCTATTTGAAGGACCTGAACGCGACGCATTGCAACAATATGCTCAATCGGTTCCACATCTGTTGAACAAGCAGGACGCCATCGAATTTGCGCAGCTACAGCCTCACTGTGAATTGCGACGATGTCACATCCAGTTGAATGGCAACCCGCTGCATTTGATCTTGATGGCAGAGGTCCCACAGGGTTACAATCTCCGCATTCGAGTAGAGACTGTCGAGCAGAGACCACTTCCAGCAGGTGAAGAGCATTTTGATGATATTCACTTCATGCAAGTTCAACCTGGACAGATTGGGCAGCGTTCATCAACACCAGGCGATGCAGTGGATGTACCAGCGCACCCTGCTAACTGTGAGCCCTTCCAGTTCAATCCATTTGCTCCTGTGTTTGTGCCGACAGGGGGCAACATCCTGGCTATGAATGAATTTGTGCAAGACTTGCACGCTGTATGGCAACTGGAAGCATTTCAATGGGAAGGTGAAGAAGCTTCGTGCCTGTTTGTCACTTGGTGCGTGGATCACCTGAATGAATTTCCACATGGTACGAGGCCTCGTGTGCTCAGGCTCTACCCAGACTTTACCACTTGGGAAAGAGATCTTCGCACTTTATGGCGAGATGAACTCAATGAAGATACCATTGTGGAATTTCATCTAGTCAGACCTACTCCACCACATCTTGAAAGAGACATTGTGGGACATATTATAGTCGTTCAGAACCCTGGAGCACAGACGGTTACAAGTCTTGTCACGCTGATTGATCAGACGCTTCCAGCATCCAGGGGCAGACTGCGTCGCATGGCCATCACGACTCATGAACATATTCGTCTGGAGATGCTCATTGATGTCCTTGGCTACACGCACATATGTGTTCCAACAGATTCTCCTCAAGTATGTCGAGCATGGTACATGGATGAACGCCTTCGTTTTGGCCGGCCATTGCAAGGACGAGATGGATATGGTATTACCATTCACACTCAATGGAGATCAAGAATACAGCATGATGAAGCCGTGCAGCTGCAAATATCGACCAACCATCTTTCAGCAGGTGGTCGTGAGCGCTTAACACATGGGACGGTAGCTCAAGCCCATGGGCCACGAACCACTCTGATTTTGGATCACCTCATCGAACACCATGATGCTCCTGAAGAAGATCTGAACCCAGCGATGACACTTGATGTTGCGGTGCGCTTGCGTTCGGGATGCCCAAGCCTTCTCATACCACCCTATGTTGAGGCCACCTCGTGTCATGACGCGCA